GTTGTCCAGCCTTCTCAAACTAGATAGGTTGTTACGCTTTTTTCAGAATTTTCTTGATTTCTTATTATATATGCAAATATACATCTCGAAAGAGCACATAACAATTAATCAATCTTTTTAATTTGCGTCTTGTTATCAGTACTCACAAGATAGGTAGAGTACTGATCAATCGACCACCCGACAAACTCCATTTAGTAGAGTTGGTATAGTTTAGCTTTTAGCGGTAAATGATTCCCCAAAATTATTGACCACAGCAATCATCACTGAACATCGGATGCTGACCCTCAATGTTTAAGTCAACTTGTTTAACTGAAGGCTTCCGGTCAAGCATCCACGCCATTTGGTACTCCGTTGTGTCACGCTCGTTCGTTCATTCGTGCACGATCCCTAGCCAGCTAAGCAGTCCTCTCGAGCTCCGATTTGGTCCCGAAATATATCTCGTAATTTGGACGATCAACTGTCTTGTTTTGCTTTGCCTTTGGTCTGCGCGGGTATTAGATCTTCGTACTATCCGTGAACGTCAATACCATCAGCCTCTAAAAGCTCATCTACAACATTGGCAGAGCAGTACAAAGCTATGCAAGTGGTTCGCTCTCTTAAAGATACGTGTCCATGTCAGTTTAGAACTCTTGTTTGCTTTCATTGATTGAGATTGATTGAATTTTTGTTCATTTACAGGCATGTAGACTGATAAAGCTGTGCATTAGCTGATGCCAAATCTCGGCAGAATGTTTACATTCCCAAGCTCACCAAACGTCACATATATCAAATATGATGCCCTGATTATTCAGTCACCCTCAAAGGAAGTTGAAAAGACTGCTTTGCACGGGTGACATAACAGAATGAGTGATCCTCAAATACTCTTTGAGCAGACTTTTGACAGAACTGACATTTGTTTGAACATTTAAATGTTTCCTTAAAATTTGTCTGCAGTTATTTATGCTAAGATTTAAGTTTCCTCTCTATTCATGGACCCATACTTTAACAGTCGCTTCTGAAATTTTGGTTTATTTTGTGTGGAATGAATCTCATAATTCAATCGCTCCCAATGAAATCGGAGCTAGCTGCTGTTTTCCAGACCGGATTCTATTCAGACTTCGGCATATCTACAGTGCGACATTTTTGGACTTGTAATCTGATTACGGCGAAGTTTAAGAATAGGGTCCCAAAACCTTCAACGCTCAAATGACCTTGAACGCATGCTAGTCATTGGCTAACGGTTCCTGTCATTATCATAGCTGAAATATCAACCCTATTCATCAAATAAGGAGCAAGTTTCACCCAGATAACACTTTTATTACTGTTTGGACAATGTGTTAACATCTCGTTGGGGTTAGGATAGGGGTTAAGGCGAGTATTGTGGTTAGGGTTAGGGTTAGGGTTAGGGTTAGGGTTAGGGTAGCGATTAGGAATAGATTTTTCGTTTATTTCAAGTTCTTTTGTTATCCTTATTTCCCTTGTATGTAGTCGCCAACGCTCTTACTGGAACCATAGTAACTAAACCGAGGGCTTAGGAGAGGACTACACAGCAATAGAAGAGAGATGAACCATTCTCAAAACAACACACCTTCAGTCTCTTTGGTGAATACATCTACAGAAACTAGTCCAAATTAGCAACTGTTACTCTTCATCGCAACTGGAAAGTATTTTTAAGTCATATCAGAGAAATATAATCCGTTTAATCTTTTTTTCATGCATTTTTGTGTAAATATACGTAAAATTTTATGCAAAAATCGTCCTATTTTCTGATTGGTCGGCTCAAGGTCATTGTGCGTTCGCATCGCTTGGGACCCTATTCTTAAACTTCGCCCTGATTACATCCTCTAGTCTCAATTTCTAACCATGGTACTGCCAGAAATGTAAAATTAACGTCGTCAAGCCTTAAACTTCCAAAGCTTTTATATGTAGCCTGATTCACTGAAGTTGAGATTTCCTCAGTGTTCACAAAAGTGGGTTAAGGGCTTTCTTGTGGCTGCACATCTCTATCAGCCTGCTTATTTGCACGAATATGTTTGAAAAATATAAATATAAATATTGCATGGTTAAATTTAGTCACCATTGGGGGTGCGAAGGTGTCAATGAGCTTGGGCAGAGTAATTTTTCACGTTATTTTAAGCTATCAGTCTGCTTGATTCAAATCATACATTTCCCATAACGGACTTGGGTTCAAAATTCGGTATCGACGAGGTACTTTAGCATTGTTTAGAAATAGGGTTGATTGGAAACAGCGTGATTTGTATATATGCAGGGATTATGAGTCTAGATGGCTGGAGGCTAGATATCTTAAGCGATGGCAAGGTGATCATTGCGCTACTTCGTAAGAAACATCTTGGTAAGGTCGTACCTGTCATTAACCCAGGTTTCATAGATTTTAACTACTGAGTGTTCAAGTGTTACGTGAGAGATACAGCTAAAGAAGCCAGAAAAGTGTCTTCTCAAATATTCAGCGGCATCGGTTCTGCAGAAAAGTTGTCTCACAGAAAGTGGTAGGATTAACGGGCGATTATTTGGTGTATCGATAAAAGTGCAGCAAGTGTAGCACAACTCAAAAATGTTGGATTGTCGATAATATGTAAACTAAAAACAAAATTTTTCAACATAAAATTTCATTTAAAAAGCATATGAAAACTAAAAGTTGTCACCAAGTCACGGACTACGACGCTACGACTAGTGGGGATATGCGGTAGAGCCACCCGAGAATAAATGCCCATCTGGAAGGAGGAGGTGATGTAGTGCGCATAGGTGATAAAGTCTGATAAAGAAGAGCAGCCGAGGTGACTAAGGAGCCAGTAAAGTCTCAGTGCTTGGATTGCATTACTGTACCAGCCCACGGAAATGATTATGATACATGGATTGATAACTTGTTGAGAAATGGGCGAGTCAAAATTCTCCTATTGGTGGAACTTGTTTTGATTTGTCCAATGACACCCTTCTGTGAGAATGGAAATATTTTGTCATACGTGTTGGAAAGGGTCCCGTATTTGTGACTTCATTATCCATTATTTTCATGTGCACACCACATTCTGACTTGAAACACCTTCAAACTTGGTCGGTGCGTACCTTAGCTTAGGATGCTCAACGTTTAGTGTCGGTCAAGGTGTAATAATTCTGGAAGAACCTCACTACTAACTTGAACATCTCAGTAGAATATCTTATATAATACAGATAACAGTACACCTGAAAATCCTCCAAAACCGTCTGGAGAGATGATTACGAGCAACTGAAGCAAACAAAGCATGGATCAGTCGTTTAAAAATGAAATAGTTCATCTTTCATATGTTGCGTTACATAAACAACTTTTTTCAAGATTCCTCATAACCTGAGAAGGGTGGATTTTAAAACAGAAGGACGTTTGTATTGAGATTTCGCTGTCTACAAGTGCACTGACAGGAATTCAGCCATGTTGCTGTACAAGAAACTTAAAAAACGCAGCATCGTGTGCTTCATAGCTACTCTCTTTAAAGTGGCTGTATCTGATTCTCTGAATCACGCTCTAATTTTTCCATTTATACCGTTTGTGGAACCGACCTGTCTGGAGCAGTAGTGATTTCTCGTTAAATATCACAATAAATGACGCCTAATTTCCCAACTGCCTTCATCTCTGACAGAGCACAGAAATCGGAGCGCTGTCAGCAGAGTTAAGGACTAAGGATATATATCGTCAAACATCAGCACAGTAGGACAAATGGTACCCTTCATATTTCGCAAAGAATATCCCACTTATCTGTGCCGTACGCTTTCTCTTCAAATTCCAGAATTGTCAGCAACTACCTTCTTCTCGAGAACGAATCATTTTGTACTATCACTTCGGATGACGCAGTGTATACGTGACGAGGCACTTACGGCGGTGTTATCAGACCCAGATTCGTAACTGATATCTGAAGTTAAGTGTCGGATGTAGTCTGCTGGCGTGACTACCTCAATATCTGTCTGAGGTTGCCTTCAGATAGCATGTAATTGATTTGCGATACGTGAAAGTCATGATTTCCGCTCCCTCACCTAATGCTTAAAATGACATGTAGTCCAGTATATATCTAGGCGTTTCCAGCTGAAGACAATGTTTGTTTCAGTGGACTTAAGTTGCAACTAGAATAAGGCAAATGGCTATCGGTTGCTGGAGAAGTGCTCTGATTGTAAATCGGATATGTCAGCTTAGATGCCTAAAGTTGCCGTTAGGTTTTGATAGGTTATCGGGGTGACATGCTCAAGGACTTTGTCGACATTAGCGAGAGCCGTTTTAGCGGTAGCATCGAAGTTTATGCACTTATTATTTCCTCGAAGAAGGTGTGTCAAGAGTTGCATGAAGGCGTCAGGTTCAAAAACAGAGAGTTAATGTTCGCTTAGGTAACTAGAGAGCGTGTGGGGATAACTGAAAGTAACACAATAGCAGAATGCCGAGTATGCTTTACGGTGTACAATCTGCTGAAACATTCGAATTTAACCGTGAAGATCAGCATCTTATGTTCAATGATGAGAGCTGTAGGTTGATGATTTTGAGGTTGCTACAAAAGTGGTAAAACTGATACTACCCGGATGTAGTTTCACCTGAAACAGGTTCGTGACCTGTCAGGTGGATAAATAATGATTACATGTTTAGAGGCTGACGGTATAGACGTTCGCGAATTGTACGGAGTATATTAACGCAAGATCTTATACCAACAACTTCTATATTATTCATTTCTCGTGTACCAAAGGCAAAGCAAAAGACCACAATCGACTGCCCAAATTACGAGATATATCTCGGAACCAAATCGCAGATTGAAGCGGAAGCTAAGCTAGTTAGTTATCGTGCACGACAGTGATACGACGGAGTACCGAATGGCGGGGATGCTTGACGGGAAGCCTTCAGCTAAACAAGTCGACATAAACTCTAAGGGTCAGCATCCAATGTTCACTGATGATTCCTATGGTCACGATGTTATTCTTCTCTTCGACATAATCTATTCTTAAGGTCAATAATTTTGGGGAATTATTTATCGCTACACGCGTAATTTCAAGGTAGAGTATTTTAGCACTTCAGTTTGGGCGGATTAATCTGTCACTTTAACTTAAATCTCGCTCCCAAAAAGTCAGCGGTAAGAAGTCTTATCTCATGAGGCTCACTTCAGGTATAAGAGGTAGGAGGATTTTCCCAAGTTTTGTAAGAGCTCTCCTTTGAAAACTGTCCATTATGTAATTCCCCTTCTTACACACTTCATTAACATATATACATCATCCCATCCTAAAATCTGTTTTCGGTCTATTCCCACTGCTGAGGACAAATAAACTAACGAAATGTCTGCCTATTACTACAATTTATAGAAATTCTGCGGCGTTTGACCTTGAGCAGCCTAATTCGGTAGCGTACGTTACAACGTGGTAATAACAAATGTCTTGGTTATTCGGTTTCGGGAAACAAAATTCGAAAGACTTCGATATTCCTATTGATGCTCCTACCCCTCCTGCTCCACCTCCCAGTTCAAAAGACAAAAGTCCTGGTGGCGATACAGTTTCTGCTTATCGATTTGATTCTGCCGCACTAGAAAGAGCTGCTAAGGCAGCCAAAGAGCTCGAACGATCAAGTATGTATTGTTAGCACAAATTATATTGTTTCAGAACATGCTAAGGAGGCCTTTAATTTGTCTCAAAAGCATGAAGAAACATTACAGATGGAGTATCAGTCAAAAATGAAGGTAGTTAGCCCCTTAACAAGAAAGTTGATTGTATTTATCCATGGACCTAGGAGTATGAACTTGGACTAGAGCAGATAAAGATACAGCAGTATAGAGCGCAACAGGAAGAACGGAGAAAAACCCTGGAAGAAGAAGCAAGAATACAAAAACAGAGAGCTGATTATCAAGATATGCTTGCGCGGAAGCGTCAGGAAGACCAAGTAGCCTTGCAGGTTGGTTATATGTTAAGTCCTACTAAATTTGTAGGCTAAAGCTCAGGCTGAAAGTCTTAGGAAACAAGAAGAATCTGTACAGAAACAGGAGGCTATGCGAAGAGGTGCTTATTATAACGCTAATGCATATCTATTATAGCGACAATTGAATTTGAATCTGATCTGCGCCATAAAAATGAAATGAAGCAAATAGAAGCCAAGATCAGGGGCGAAGCTGAAGTTGAACGCGAAAATCGTGAGATACGGCTAGAACGCGCCCGTGTAGATGCCCGCGAGTATCGACAGACGGTTTTAGAATCCATTACTACTGCTGGTTCTGTCATCGGCAGTGGCATCAGCAGTTTTCTTTCGGAACCGGACAAGGTTGCCACAGTAATTGGTTCATTAACTTTGTTGGCTGGCGGTGTTTACGGGGCTAAATATGGGATTGGAACATTTACCAGAGTTGTTGAGTCTCGGATAGGTAAACCTGCACTTGTTCGTGAAACATCTCGGATTAATGCTGTGGACAGCTTCCGCCACCCTGTTAAGGTTTGTCTCCTCTATTAATTTATTAAATTTTAGACAGTCAAGACGATTTTCCAGCGTCCTACAGATCCACTAGATGGGATAATTTTGCGAGTAAGTCATCAGTTTTCTGTAGTTATATTAGACTGAAAATATACTCAGCAATGTAGATAATTGATTTGAGTTGGGATTCAGGGAGTCACCAGGATAACATACAAGCGTGCTAACAATATTTCAGTAGACTTCAAGTTCCTCTATCAAAAAAGTAAAGGGCGAAATATTAGCCTTTCAGAAACAATAAAATTGCAACGTGGTTAGGATTCATCAGTGATTTTTCGTTCAGTCGGGCTCATATTTCTGATGCGATACTTGCTATTATTACCATATTCCCTTCATGTGTAAATAGTTGAACTTCATCATTTTGTCAAATAATTAGTCTTATTTCAATGATGAGACTTTTAGACAAAACTTTACACAGATATAATAAGTATTCTTTCCTAGATTCTGTTTCCATCATACTACAAACCCTGTGATTTTATCGTCGACTCATATGCACTAAATTACCATCAAGTATGTAAAATGTTCACTTCTTGCCATACTAGCTGAAATTAATGTTATTATTCGTTGCTTGCTTCCCAATCAAAGCATAGAGCTTCGGTATCTCATTTTCATTTGACTCTGTTCACTGCAGTAACTTTCGTATGGTTAAAGTGCACTACTATGATTGTTAGTAGGGTCGTATAACATTTCATGCAGATCGGTAGTTCATTATATGGTAAATTAGACGTATACTACTCTCATCTTGAACCATATATATGTGTGCCTGAATCCATTCTTCAACTGTGTGTTTTCGGGATGTATTCGCGTTATGGAAGACATTCAGTTTCACCATAGTTTGTTTTGGACTTGAAGATTGTAAAGTTTACCTTCACATAATAGGTTCACCTCATAACTTGTCACATTCACCTTCGTATAGTTCTAAATTTAAATTTTATGCAGTTGGAACGTGGGTTATTCAGTGGCAAAAAATAAGTACTCACTGTTTCTTTTATCTGTGAAAGTATTTTGCGAAATCATGATTAAGTTATTATTATGCATCTTTTGGGCTCCGAATGGGAAATAGGGCTTCTGCGGCCCATCTTCTTTCACTCTATCCTGTCTATTTCAGCTGGCTGCATAATCGCTCACAACTTGTCATTTCTTCTTCTCATAGTCTCCATGCCACGTACGTTAGATTCAATAGGCATACATTATTTCCTCAGACGAAGTGCAGGGAAAATCGGGTGATGATAGTGGCTGTATTTAATGTAAACTGTTTGTAACACAGTTTCATAGATTAGAAAGTAATTTTGATTGCTTATGTTGGTATTTTGTAAAGCCAGCTGGTGTTGTACGAAGCTCAAAATTGAAGCTAGTAACAGACTACAGATGAATATACCTTAAATGTCTTATTATATTCTTGTTCCTGATTTTACATTATTCTGTCTTACTGTGTTTATTGCGTTAGGCTTGTGTCCAACTAAACATAATAACCACACTCTAAACATTTCATCTTATAAAATAGTTGGTTGAAATATTGGTACTGGTGAATTCAATAGAATTCTTTCTTCTGATTCAGCATTGGATTCTTGATTTTGGTGGGTCTGAAATCTAATGGATTTATAAATGCATCTACACTTTTGAAGGTATTGAAATAATTCATATGATGATACGCCCATTGACTGGTTTTCAGGAGAACCGAACATAAATATTGTAGTAATTTTTCACTTAGGCGTTTAAATATTGCCTAACGTCCGTTTGATACCTTTTTCCTTATAGCCTGAATTGGAAGCGTCTTTAAGAAAAATAGCCATAGCAACACGACATACTAAAGCAAATAGTGGCTTTTATCGAAACGTTCTGATGGCAGGTCCACCCGGTACTGGAAAGACAATGTTTGCCAAGGTAAGTCTTAGTGTTAATAATATTTTACTTGTTCATCGATAGCTGTATGCTATTGGTGATATGGCTCAAAATTATTCTTAGTGGTGTGGATGCATTGACTCCCTGTTATCTCTTATATCTACTGTACCGTCATGTTTTCCGTGTAATATTCTTTTCCGCACATTGCTGCTTATTGTAGTTCTTCTGAATCGTTTTTCTCTCTCATTTGTCTGTCTTATATTACTCCTTTGTCTCACACCTCTACTCACTGTTTCTATTATGCTTTTCTTGTACTTTCTTCTCTTGCTTCGCGTGCTACACGGAATGTGGCGACTTGAACTTCCGCACATTTGTGCAAAGTTCTATGTCGAAAACAGACAGACATGGATGGTGACAATTTGAACTGCACTTGTGTGCAGAGTTCTATTTTCATGCCCGATCATTTCATCTATTCATAATGTAAACAGTTATAAACTTAAGATGCTGTCATAAAGCAGTAAACTATGACTTTATTTTAATGTAAAGCTTAGGAAAAACTAATTGAAATGTAAGATTTTCATGCATCAACTGAGTCTGTTTAAATGTGAGGAGAAATTCAAATTATATTTAATGTGACCAAGTGCTTAGTATATTAAAATAGTTAATCAGTTTTCAGTGCAATATACTTGTTTAACATGGTTATTTATTCTTTTACAGCAAATCATTCGACATTTTTTCAAATGTATGGGATTAATGAATGAAAGAACTTGTAAAATATGTCATATTGTAAATAAAGAAATTTGAATAAACTAATGGCATTATTGGATGGAGGATTTCATTATGAGCTGACATTAGTTAGAGAACCACTGGAAAACCTGAAAGTACTGGTTGGTGTTTCGCCCTAGTTTGGGATTCTTCATCAGTACGCACCCACGGGGATTAGAACCCAAGACTTTCTGGTTACAAGGCAAGCGAGCTGGTAAACCATTAAGCCACTGGCACGTGATCCAATGACCAGCCCATCAATTCTAACTTCTACCAATTCACGACAAAGCGCGACCATTTCGCAATGCCTTCTTCAATGAGTTACTGCCCCATCTTCAACCTGCTGTACCCTACTGGTCACGGCTTCCCACTAGAACCCCAGGTCACTGCCTGAATAGAGCCAGTCGCTAGTGAGCATTATAATGGCATTATGTTTGACTCATTATATTACAGTTAATTGTTGGATATTCAGTAAACATGAAATTAATCGAAATAAATTTATCAAAATCGTACTTAAAAACCCGATTTAATGAAACTTTTCGCATATGATGGATTCCCTTACATTACCTTGTTAGCAAGACATAACTCTGATACAAAACTTCTTGAATTACAGTAAATGCTGTTGTGGGATCTAATTTTTTAAAGAAATCTTTAGCTAAGAATTTGTTCTCTGTTGATTGTCACATCAAAAGAAGCCAGTCAAGAACTGTTCTAGGTTTTTACTCATAGCGGGGTTGTCTGTAAGATAACTTTGAGTTGGCAGGCAGTTATTAGTTATTGCTACTTTAGTACCTTTGATGAGACTTGCATGGGTATTGCGAAATTTTTCGATTTTGATGTTTTACTACATTTTCAAGTAATCTGACCTATTTTTCTTTTAAACTAACAGAGTTTAGCAATGCATTCTGGCATGGACTATGCTATTTTGACTGGTGGAGATATCGCACCTATGGGAAATGAAGGAGTAACTGCAGTCCATAAGGTTTTCGACTGGGCCAAAACTAGTCGGAAAGGGTAAGTCATAATAGTTTATATCACTTGAAAGGAAGTACTGTGTATTGTTCCACATTAGATTTCTTTGTAAAGTAATGTTTAAACAATGTTTTCCGGTATTTATAGAACGTAGGAGTTTGTTACGCAACTAAGGAAATAAACCCAGTGCGTATAAAAGTACCCGCATAGTTTACTATTTGAAGACCACATATCACATTTCTGTGGTTTCCTCATGAAATAACTCGATAAACATCAATTGTCTTCCTAGCTGTCGTGTTGTAGGAGCCGAAATTGTGCGCATACCTTTAACTAGCTAATTACAACTCTTATGTAAATTCTGTAAGATGTGAACATTAATTATTTAAGGACCGTAGCTGAACAAACAGAAGCACAAGATAAATCGAAATGTGTGCGCAGCACATACGACAGGTGGAATTTGACCCCTGTCAAGTTTAAGTCTCTAATGATTGACTATTTTTATTTGCGTCGCTCCATCATTGAAGCCTACTTTCTTCAAGTAGTGTTGTTCTCTAATCTGTGCTTTTTGTTGACGAACGTTTCTGGGTCATGTTAGACACTGTTATAATTACTTCACATGGACATTCTAATCTACAAGTACTCTCCATCAAAATCAACTGTGCACAGTGTGATAGCTAATGTATATGCTGCTTAAAAGAGACTGGTTTTTGTATTTGCCCACTTGTGTCATCTCTGTCTCAAGAAAGATATCCGACTGTCCTTAAAGAGGCGTGTTTGCTGAGGTGTGAACCCCGGAAGTAAACAACGTAAGTTGTATTCGCGCAATCGACTGAGCTAAGTGAGGCAACATATTGCGATTAATGGTAGTGTTAGTTAATGGTCAGTCAGTCGACAAGGTTATGAGTCATCATTTGCTGAAGTTAGTGGGGAATGTGTTACTTATTTCGAGCTGTGGTATTCCCCATTTAACAAAGTTAGCTGAGGTAAAACTAGGTCGGAAAAGACCCCGGTGTGACCTGACCAAAGCACACTATCAGCTGATGAATTCATTGACGTAGAAAGATGATGGTCCTCCGACTAAAGCTCTTGAGATGCCTAAGGTTGAGAGTTGGAAAATCTTGGCGACATAGCTCAAAGTAAATTGAAATATCTCAAATATATTCGCTGCTGATCAAAGTTTAGACCCTGAAAATCTTACTGAATTAGTTCTTCCTGATACCCATGTTTATATATTTTGTTTTCACTACGTCTTTATTGTGTACATTTTCTAAATATGGTAACTAACGCAAATCTATTAAAAGTCCTAATATAGTTTGTATCTGCGCTAAGAATAAGAAATTGGGTAAAGAACAGTCTCCCGAAGATTTTCAGTTGGTATACTCATTATCTGAATAAATACAGGTGTGCCTCGTTGACTTAAACACTCGGTTTCCATCTGATTGGTCCCAGGTTCTAATCCCACTATGCCCACTTCGGCTTGTGCATCTAGGTGGTGTCATGTGTCCTCACAATTAGCGTAGTCACTGTGTTCAAATGATAACTCTCAACATACTCTTGGGCGACTACAGGCATTTCAAACTTACAGTCTCAATAGGATTTCGATTTAACGTACATTTTCCAGAAGCGTAGAAAAAAGAAACCAAAATGTCGTCTTTGTTTTTTGAAATGTCGAAAGTCAAATTTTCCTTTTTGATGTTTATTAACAGAGTTCTACTATTTGTGGATGAAGCGGATGCATTTCTTCGAAAAAGAGAACAAGAAAGAATAAGTGAAGGTATTCGAGCAACTTTGAATGCTTTCTTGTACAGAACTGGAGAACAATCAAAGAAGTAAGTTTGTAAAGTCTGAAAATTTCCATGATATATGGTATTATGAGTTAGTTAAGTAAACAGTTTTCGTACTTAGTTGTATGTTATAACCCCATTTCTCTCTGAGATGTCGCTTTACAATTCATATGTATGTAAAATTGTAGGTAACTTATATGCCTTGTAATCATATTTCAGTTAGTTATTACTTTTTTTAACGTCACCAACTTGTTTAATGGAAGTTATTTTTTGTAGACCATACTATAATGAATGTTGTAACGTAGCTATGAACCACACCTAACAATAATTAGTAATTATCGTTGGCATAGATGCATATAGACTATGGCTGTTAAAAGCGTGCAAGCTGTTTATAACCACTCACAGCAATAAGTAGTCATTGCTATAGGTGAAAACAGTTGTATTAACCTATCACATATTTCTTTGTCATTGAAATAACAGAAATGTAGGTTCTTCTGCATTTATATAGGTTGAGCCCTAGTTTCACTTTTTATTTGACTTTGCCAACGGTAGGAAACTTCTTTAGAATCCCAACTGCAGCATGATATGCATGTGTTATGAATCGATACTAAAGTGAGTTAAATATTCTTGCGATAAGCACATCAAATAAACAAAATCCTCTTTTAAAAAGTCTCATTTGGTATACAGGTAAATTGGTTTATTTGAAAAGAAATACAGTGGTATAGCATTATCATTTGTATACCATGTCACTGTCTGCTGTATCAAATAAACTTGTCCAGTATGAACAGCATCCTTTGATGTACTTAATATTCTACAAAGCACTTGATAAATAGTGTTCCTGTTGTCTCCTTATTCTGAATTGATGAGTTCAATCCAGTTGTCTGGTGTTTCTTAAATTTTAGTTGATAATTATAGGAGCAGTAAATAATTCGTGGCGTTGCAAAATGTATGAAACTATTGGCACTACCTAAAGACATGAGAGCGTATGTGGCACAGTGGCAGAATGCTTGCCGACCACGCATCTAATCCAGAGTTCAATTCCCGACGGACACACTCCTTTACCTAGCTGAGCCAATAGTAAGACTGGTAAAGAGGGAAGGTTGGGCATGAAGCTAGCAACGCCATCCCTTAACAAATAAATAAACACCACTGCTACCGAAACTTAAAGTCCTATGTTCCACTGGGAGTGAAACATAAGCTTTTAGGATAAGTGTAGTACTAAATCACATAAAAGAGTAAGCCACTAGTAGTTCGCTATAGAATTTAGAATGCGTGTTCATCAGTCCTTACTCGATTCGTCTAATGTTCACATTACCCAGTTCATTTAAATAACTAACTTTACAGTCCATACATGTTGTCCATACTGTTTTTATCAGTGATATAGATATTATTCACTTTATTCTGATTAGAATTATTCTTCACTTTTTCCTTTAACTACAAACTTTTTATCTTGCAGGTTTATGTTAGTTCTAGCAAGTAATCAACCAGAACAGTTTGACTGGGCAATTAATGATCGTATGGATGAAATTGTTCAGTTCACATTGCCTGGTTTAGAAGAACGTGAACGACTTGTCCGACACTACTTTGATCTTTTCCTTCTTCAACCTTCACTAACCAAGAGTCATCGTATTCGTCTAGCTGAAGACATAAACTATGCTGTGAAATGTGCAGATGTCGCAAAGAGGACTGAAGGTCTTTCTGGACGTGAAATTTCCAAGATTGCAGTTGGTTGGCAGGTATGCAGGTTATTTTGGTGTCCAGTCTCTCAGAATGAGTTTTGTAGGTCGAAGTTGTCAGACAACTATGTGTTATATGTATCGGATGCATAAACGTAGTGATTCTCTTACTGAGGATGTTGTTTTACGAAACCAGCCGGAATATTATTTATTGTCTTGACGTGATCATATTCCGGCGATCTTATTACCGCGAAAATTAAATACTAAGTTTATGGGCACTAAGAGATTATTTCCTCTCTACCTCAGATTAGATAGTAAACTTACTGAACGGCACCGTATTTCTTACTGAAAACTATTAAACGATAGTACTTGTGAAAAATAGCCTGTCGTAAATGAGGATCCCGTTTGGTTACTAATGAAAAAACAAATTTTCTGAAGGATTATGAAAATCTACCATTTTTAAAGTCGTCTGAGTTCTAGAAAATTAACGTAGCAGTGTGAGCTAGAGTAGTGTATTTTATGTTTTGTAAACTAACTCTTTAATCACCGAGTCATTGCATTTACTTGTGGTGCGTTCAGTGCGATATATTAGTCATATATCCGGTTTTCATATCACTAATCAATGTATTCAGTTGGTTACTGCGCATTTTGTCTCGAAAAATTTCCGCCTACTTAACAAAAGCATATGAGATTCATCGATTGGACTCTTAATTTGAATTTTGTTCCACACTATTAAATGTAGAAGTCATTCAAAGCTGTCTTTTTTACAGTTTAAAAAGCCAGTTGGCTGACATAGTTTATAGGTATTCGCTCCATCAGGAGTGAAAAAACTTCAAAGAAAGCCGGGTCCATAAAAGTATTACTTCAAACATCTAATGATTTATCGTTTGAATTTGAGCTCATCATTTTAGAAAGTAGTGTAAAACTCATCATCTTGATTGAACTTTTTAACTAATTTCTATTATCTGCGTAAAGTGGCAGCTCAGCAACTTAGTGTGCATGCATCAAATTCAATATATGATTGCCAGTTAATACATGATTTCTACTTAATGAACTTGAACAAAGCTATAACAACACATGGGAGAAGGTAGAACGGATACATTTTGTCTCGTCACTAGAGAAAAAAGTGTTGAACAGTTACTATGAACGATTGTGGCAAATAGATTACTTTGATTGGGCACTAGTTACCAACTAGTATCCAATACAATTCTACAGGAGATCAACCGCAAGCCCGAATAGCTCAGTGGCAACATCTCTGACCGTAGCATTGGGTGGGAGTGAATGACACGGGTTCGAATCTCAGAATGGACATAAGCTCCTCCAAGGTTGCAGATACGGCTTGCTGACTCGTGAGTGCCAACTAGCACGAAACCTAGGTTCAAGGCTTCCTGCCGATTGGCTTCAACCATCTAATATCAACAATTCACGGTGAATAGATTAACTGAAATGTTAGGCTGTTGAACATTTGTTCTCCAACAAACTGTTGACAAGATACCAATGGAATAAAGTGGATCTTTTCTATCCTATTTAATGTGTGTGTCCCGACCGAAAGCTGCTACCTTGACGTGGTGGTCGGGCTTGAACACCGCAATGACCTAATCAAGCTATACTGGCTGAGGCTTATGTCTCTTGAGGTTCTACCATGCCAGGCAGGTTGTTTGGATAGCGGTTAAACAAAAAGCAGCTACCTCAACCAATATCATGATCCAAACAAATTCACAAAATTTCATGCTGGATCGGCCGTGGCCCGGATTAACAACGACCGCGCTTCCTGCTGCCGTGTCACAGGGTGGGAGTGATAAGTATGCTACTGAGGCACACCAAACAAAAAAGAACAAACAAAAACAGGCCGCGTGTGACCGGCCTCAAGCAGTTGTCCCCTGGGCTCTGCGGTCACGCAACCAACTTCCACGGTGTGGGCAGCCGGGAAGTAACAAATGCCCTCACAATCCGAAATGCACACAAAACCTCTCTATTTAATGTGTTGTTATTGCTTTGTTCAGATCACTGTTATTTTAATTTGTAAGAAGGTTGTCTGTTTCAGAAGTTTAAGTGATAACCACCACTATTATTTGAAAATTGTTCCATGAATACCTATGTTTTCCACTTTCTTTTATGTTTACAGACAGCTGCTTACTCTAGTGAAGATGGTGTTTTAACAGAAAGTATGATGGATGCTGTTGTTGATAGTGCAGTAGCAGCTAATCGTCAGAAGCAGGAATGGAGACATCATAAACTTCCTGATAGTGTGGAAGCTATTCCGACATAACTTCGACACATATGCACACACACACAACAGAAGGGCTGTATTTTGCATTAAACACTACATCATGTTCCCTTGTTGTACATTGATTTTAATTCTCTTTTTATCAAATAAGTAGACTTTTTCAGATAAATGTATGTAGTTTTTACAGTACACTCTAGTGATCAATACAGAATAATATCGAAGTCATCGTTTTTGTTGCCATTGTTATAAGTAATTGTGCACATTTAGCTACTGAAGTGAGGCATTTATTTTTCAGTTTAACATAGTGCTAGGACGGAACGCCTATCGTTGGCAATCGTAAAGTCATGATTGGAAAGTTTTCGATTGAGTTATTTTCGGAGAGTCCTTAAGGTCAAGTAATCAATCAGATATTGATTATCTATATATGGTTTAAATTTCTGAAGATGTGTAAATGACATATATCCTGTATTTTGAATAAAGTTGTCGCAGTTAAATCTGACTTGTGTCTGTCTCAGTGAAGGGAATATTTTTAAGTGATCAGTTGGCTATAATGTCGTGTCTGGAGGCGCAAGCTAGACAATAACCACAAAAACAGTAACACTCCGTTATAACACGTACTGAATACTGCAATGTATAATTGAAATGTATCAAGGTGGTATGATGTAATTGCGAGAATGTAGTATAGTAATAGTTACGAAAAAATAAGTATTCGCTGTTTTAACTTTCTGAGTATAAACAAAGTCCTAGTAACTACAATGCCATTTTCTGCACAACGTCCATCAAGTGACCTTTTTGCGTAACAACACTGTGCGTGGTTAAGACTCTTGCCGACCATACACATGGTCCGAGGTTCGATCCCCTGACGACGCACACCCGATATCTGTGGTCGGCCTGCAAAATTTGGGCTACCGATATCACATGCTGAAAGTTCCATACTTGTACCGAAAATACTGTGTGGAATCAAGCTATAATAAAAAAATATATAAGGGTGGTTACATATGAGACTGTACCCATCAATTTGTTGGGGTATCTTCAAATTTAGAACGTATGCTTCTTATACAAAATTCTTGTTTCATCCCTCCTAGTATTACCTTATTTCCAAACGCTGGGAGTTGCTTCATTTAGGATGACATTTTGCGCAGTATCAACATTTTCTTGCCCTTCTACCTATTTTGGTTACACTGTTCTTCGAAATGATGGTCAATATTTGTAATTGAGATCGTATACATTTCTCTAGAAACTCAGTGAATTAACACTGAATGTGACAGAAAAGTAAAATGCTTAGGACAGTAAGAACCACTCCTTCATTCTCTAAATATTGTCAGGTTACATCAAACTTGATTACTCATACTCGATGATTTCTACCATATTTAGTACTAACAATCTTTTGGTAATTGTGGTATTTTATATTTACCGATAGTCCTTTGCTCTACCCTTTAAGAGAAGATTAATATTTGTGAACAACAGGAACTGACGTTCTAACAAAGGAACTTCGATAGTCAAAGACCCTTTCGTCGCCCTTCACTTATTACTTCTAGTTTAAAAGCCCATCTAGTCTGCTTTTGGTAGAAAAGAGTTGGCTTATCACTTAAACGGATAGCGTGTCTATAGCTAAACACAACCAGCTTTGTCTTCTTACAAATTGTGAAACCACTGGTCCACCACAATTTGATATTGTGACCGCCTATTGTTCTCCTTTTCATTTCTTTGCCTGTTATCCATGTTTACAACTATGTGGTTGGTTCGCTGTTTGTGTTCCTTTCCCATAGTTTCTGACCGTCTTCATTCTGAAGTTTATAATAATTTTGTATCGAATAGGTAATAATAGTCTTGAGAGGATGTTATTCGGAACTCTTATCTAATTTGTTTCCTAATGTAATCGGTTTCCGCAAGTAACTGTCGAAATGGACACAGATGTCTTCACCAAGGTTTAGTACTGCAATACATCTCGCAATTTTCATTCTTAATAGCAAACGAATTTATTTGTTTTGAGCTTTGGGCATGTTTCATTTATTAACGACCTACTTATTTAAAAGACAAAATGATTGAGCGAAGAAACATTTACTTCATCACTAACAGATAGGTGAATTCGTGTACTGTATTAAACTTGCCATATATATATTAGAGTGGAGCCATAAAAGAGGATCTAATTGAAAAGTAAATATTCCCTTGGTTAACTCCCTAGCGATATAGTTATTCAGAGAACCAAAGGGAACTGCAACACTTTAAATAAGAAAACACGTGAGTTCAATACCACTAAGGGAGAAGTCAATAAATATCACAAAATCTTTTATTAGGATGTTAACTGCTGACGAGAACTGTCCACATAAATACACAATCGATTAATATGTATAGATTGGTGCAGATTTCTCCTCACTGAGCGAATGCAAATATTTTAGGCTGAATTGTTTAAAACATTCGTCCACCATAACCGTATGTTTGTTTAAGTGCAGAAAGAAAAATAGTCCTCCATCCATTACGTGTATTGTCTAGGTCGTAAGCAGGAACATTAGTTTGGGCTAGAGAAAGGCGCGTCCCACCTTCAAAAGCGCTCATTTCTAATGTTAGATTACTGTAATGATTTTCTGGCCATTCACGTTTACGCCACCTCATCTTTATTGATTTCCCAGCAACCTAAAATGTTAGAAACAACACTTATTGTATTAAGCATCTGGGGCAGATGAATTGTTGTTCACATAATAAATTAGTAATAATTCATCGTTAAAAGGTTGGAATAAAGATTATCGAGTTTTAGTCTCAGTGAGCATGGTATTGTTAACATGCATGCAGATAAGAACCTCATATAAGACGGATCCTAGATCCCACCGAGGGTCAGCAACAAATAAACAATAGCATGTGATGTAGTGTTAACATTTTACCAAGTTTTAATAAACAAAAAACTGCTGTACTTCAGCGTAACTACAAAATCATTTTTGTTACAGTGATACCAGTGGACGAAATAGGACTGTCACAATATATTGGACAAGTTACAGGTACGAATTTCCGGAGCAGGCTAGAACTCGGCTTGTATTAATTAAATATTTTGTGTAAACTAAAATCAAAGAGTAGATTTCGTTTATTTACTTTTTCAAGTATTTGTTTTGCAGGGATTTTTTGTTTTTGTTTGATTGAATGGAGGATTTCATCATGAGCTGACATCAGTTAGAGAACCACTGGAAAACCTGGGAGTACTGGACAGCTGTTTCGTCCTAGTTTGGGACTCTTCATCAGTACGCACCCACCGGGGTTCGAACCCAGGACCTTCTGGTTACAAGGCGAGCTCGTAGACCATTGAGCCACTGGGACCCGATCCAATGGTCCTTGAATTCTAACTTCTGCTTTACTTTTTGTTACTACGCATGCCGGCGGAATCTAGAAAGAATATAGTCAAGAAAAAAGTATGAACAGCACAGAAGCTATTCACACTGAAAAACGCAGTATTTAGCAAAATTTTTAATTGAACTTACAAGTTCGTCGAAAATTCCTGATATATTACCACTGAAGACAGAATATGCTCCACCGGGTACCGCATCAACAACGGCCTCAGATCGTGTAAAGGCTTGAATCAACTAAAATATAAACAAAATTCCTCATGATTAGGAATTCGCTTAAATGCTAAAATGTATTATTAACTTTACTAAGTTGTATCAAAAGCAGATATTATATTAGGATTGAAACAATCAAAGAAGTTGGCATAGTTCAAAGGAATTTCGACGAAATATCCACAATGAACTTGTTTATTGGTGAATGCATATGTATGCAAATATCAAAACCACAGTTGTCATGAAATTCATCGGAGAATCTGAACATTAAATGGGTATTTTTGAAGAAACAAGACTTATCTAGACTTTGCATTTTATCAAATACAGCTTTTTAGGAGTATGACTATTTGCTTTAGACAGTAAAACATTTAGAAAATTTTTTATTGTGAGTTCTTAAACGCACTTTGTACTTAGCAGTCTTATATAATGTAATGTGAGATCTAGAAACACAAGTATGCAGGAAGCCAACCTACGAATATTAAATACTTAACTACAATAGCACACCAAAGAAATTGTCTAAACTCTATTCAAAAGGGCTAGGACATACTGCAACGCTCCAGTCTTGAGGGCAGAAAATAAATATTTATTAACTGTCTTTAAGAAAGATAGATACCCTTACAATTTCATCAGGAAATATCTAAATCCCAATCAGAATATTAGCAAGAAACCATCCTCAAAAACCACAAGAAAATCCATCCTACCATTTATAAAGAATGTTTCTGAAATAACGGTCAGAGTACTAAAATTATTCGATATATATTTCACAAACAAACCAACACAATCACTTCATTCGATATTATCAAGATCAAAAGACGCAACAGCTGAAGATAGGGTCAACATCACTTAAAGAATAAATTAAATGAACTGTGATAAGCATGACATTAGTAAAAACAGTCGTCCTCTTCGATTTCGCACCAGAGAATGTATAATATATCTAAAGATACGACACGAATTCTTCCACATAGATGTATGCAGACAAATACGGATGCCCATTTGACTGGGAAAACGGAGAAATTCTAAACAACGGAAACATCAAAAATGCCAGAGAATTCCTAGAGAGTTGATGGTCAGACTAATAGGCAATCAACAGACATTATTACAGGTCAAATTTACCATCTAAAAAAGAATAAGACCCATTAAAAGTCAAATTCCAAGTCAATAAAAATGGCCAATAGTGATGCAAATTAACAACCAATCACAACAAAGGTTATCAGGAGAAATAATTGCATCATCCATCGAGAATTCAAATAAGTTAACTTCATATTTAAGTTTGCATTGAGAATGTTATCTAGGAAGACAATGAAAGCTTAGCAACTAAACCACTCAGCCCAGATAGCATAATCACATCAAAGTCGTATCATGTGCAAACTCGACTTTAGTTTGAAGATATTATGTTATTTGGGTTTACGTAACTTTGCGTGATTGTTCCAAGACTTTATGGGGGGATCCACCTTCGAAGAGGCCTACAAAGGCCCTAATGTGACGTCGGAAACGTCCTACGACTGGTACTACTTAGTTGTATACATCATGGAATCTGATGTCTTCAAGAGTGTGAATTGGTTTTGCCTGATCACAGGAAATACGTAGAAAGCAAGATACATAACCTCTGAAAGAGTCAATGTCCATTAAGTCCATATTACCAGGAGTGTAACCCTGGGACAATACCTTTTATTTTATTTTCCTCATAGTGCAAATTGTGTGAATATCTTTTTGTTTCTATAAACTTCCTGTCTTTTATCCCTGCCTGAAATAAGGAACAACTTATGAGAGCTTTATGACTGTGTAGTATTCAACTCAATTTGTTTCATATTTCATTTCATATTTCTTCATTGCTTCGAGTCATCAGTTTAAAATTAGCATTCAGAGATATTTAACAAATGCAGTTGTTATATGACAAGTATAGTGGTGAGTGTCGTTGTTGCAACTACTTCTAAATGAGATAAATGCCTATACCACTCATCTCTATATAAAATATGAATTACAAAACAGAATGTAGCACACTACACATCTAAGCAACCGTATATAACTGAGGGATGAATCAGTGTAGAACTCCGTGAAGAGACACCAGTACATTCGTGTTGCCACACTTCAAAGCATAGGCACGAAGGTGCTACGAAATATTTGTTTGTTGGAACAAAGAAAGCCGTAAGTTTACGTCAGCACTTCGCTAGGTATACTAACTACTCTGAAGTTTACAATCTATAACTTTATTTATTGGTTGCTGAATGCAAACGATGAGAACCAAACTCACGCTGTCGTTTTTAAAGGCATTGCTGTCATCTCTAGCTACATTTGGTTTCGTTTCAAAAACTGCATTGTCAATGAATAAACACTACTTTTGGTACAAGGGGAAAGCCTGAATGAAACCAATCTACGTGATGCATATGACTAACTTTCAGAATTAAAGCCTAAGTAATCTATATGCAGATTTCAGTGACTATACACTAATCAGTGAGTTCACCCTCCATGAAAAATCAGAGAAAAAGTTAAGATAAGTATTACCTCTTTAGTAGTGAAAACTTTATAAAGATCTTCAGGTGTGCAGAAAAATTCATCTGTGATTGAAAGATTTTTGTTTGATAGATCTTTAGGCTCTTTGACATCAGCTGGAGGACGATCAGTCTTGTCAGTTACTTTGTTCTGTGCTGCAGCAGACTGTGGTACACCAGTGGGTTTACCGTTTGTATCATTTTTTGTCGGAAGAATAAGGTCCCGAGCATATTCTATTATGATTATAATATAAACAGAAAACCACATACCTTCTTTAAGGAGTTTAAGATATTCTTTTAGTTTGGACTTAATGCATTCAACACCAGCGGACTTGACAAAAGTTCTCATCAAATCACCACTAGACGACGAAGAAGTACAACTGACATTTGTATCGAGTTCATCCACCGTGTACTCATCACTCATATTCAAAATTTCCACTTTACCCTTGAAATTTGTTTTGTTGTCAGAACCCTTCATTTTTCCTGAATAAAAAATGGATAGATAAAATTTCTGAATAAGTATCACAATCTAACTGTTATTGTATTATTATTATTGTTCCCTTGGGTTCCTAGTGGAACATAGGGCTTCAACAGCACGTCTCCACTTGCTTCTGTCTTCTGCTGTACTTTTCACCTGCGTCCATGTCAGTCCCTACTGTTTCAGCTCCTCTTTACACGATCTCCCCCATGTCACCCATGCACTGACGTCCCACTCGCCCCTTCCCTTTCGGGTTCCACTCGAGTAATGGCCTGACGCGCGCACGATGTCACCAACAGGCCTCCTCAGTGAGTGTCCAATCTGTTATTGTAAACTAGTATATATTCGAGTAACAGTCAATCATTGATGTTAAGTTTTCTGGTCAACAACAAAACAAATCCCATGTGACAAACACAAACATTCACATTATGTTACAGGTAGTTTAACGTTGATGAGTGAAGAATCGCGTAAAGGTCCACACACACTTACTTTGTTAGGAAAAATAAAGTCATGCATTTCAAAATCTCTAAAGCCACTGCTTAAATTAAGTTTTCTGTTGTATGACAGCAAACCTAACACACTGAACAATTAGTGCCTCAAATTGCTTGTGAGGTTCACAGGTAAAATCAGACTAAACAACTGTTCTGGTGTAAATTCAATGTGATGGGCTTTAAATGTCTCAGCCTCCAGGTCCTTGAAGTCTGACTAACTACATTCTATGGGCAGGTCTAACATCACCTCTTAAGTAAAACGAACAACATAAACTAACCAATGAGTTGTAGATATCCACAAAACGCCAAAAAACAAGTGCGAAACGAAAAAAGACTACAGCCCCACCAGCATAGTTGCTTTTAGTGTTGCACTAGACTGGTACCAAATGATGTTAGAAAAAGCATGACTTAAGGAACCGTTGAGGCAAAGAGAAGAAATTCAAGGGTTACTTGAGCCATAGAAACAGGAAAACCAAGGCATGACTGTACAATGTCAAAGAAATTTTTTATTAACCCCTTTAAGTGCCCACGAAGTGTATACACTGAACAAATGAATCCGCTAAATCCTTAAAATATGTTTTACTGTGACTATTATTAATCCACTGTGCGTCGGTGACACAGCGGTAGAGTGCTCACTGACCCCACAGGTGGTCTGGGGTTCGACCCGCGGCCCACGCACTCCTTTACCTCGCTAAGCCAGTTATAAGACTGGTAAGGAGGGAAGTTTGGGTACGAGGCCAGCAATCCCATCCTTTAAAAAATCACAACTGCTACCGCAACTTCAAGCCTCTACCTCGAGGCTATACGTTCCACTGGGAACGTAAAGGAATAAAAAGAAATTATTAAGCGAACAAAGTGCTCAACTTTCAACTGTGGTCCGCCATTTCTAGTTAGGCAACATTCTAACCGAGGCCCCCAACCTTTAAATGAAATCTTTCCCGAGGTTGGTGAATCGTATCTTCAGACCACTGAAATTTCTAAGTGTCCCTAGGTTGTCTAACACAACTGATCACCAGTCCTGATATCATCACCCATACATTTATTGAACTTACCGGTTCTTCAACTAATACTGTACTCAGGATGACCGTGAGGTAGCGAACTCCAAATTTCTAAGTAATAAGGTTTGGAATTTTGTCGATTATCTTTCTAACTTAACATGAATCGTTTCGGTGAAGAGAGAAAGTACTACGAAGCTTTGAGATTTAAATCTGTCTGGTAGCACATAAATATCGTTGGACAAAATGCAACCATCATTTCACCGAATGAAAATTAGCGAATGCAAATCATATTCTTTATGTTTCATATCCCATCAGCTAAGAACCAAAAATTTGCCAAACTCTAAAACGTCGTCCATTTAAATGAGAAAGTCTTTAAATGGTAGAAACGTTACTACCATAAGTTAACCTAATCAACACATAAGCACACCCAAAAAGAGTTTGCATTTTGGAAGATGCACAAAGCCCTACTGATATATTATAGTAACTCAGTGATGGTCTAGAAGAATGGAGCAAAATCAAATGAAACTCTCCTTAAAGGAAACGGAATATTCAGGCTTGAATTTCAATTCATGTAAGTGACTACCAGCCGGCTAACAAATTCTAGCACTTATGACTGTTTAGAATGGAATATAGGACAGAATTCGTAGTCAGAACGAATCGAAGGATATAATGGTGAAATATGCAGTACTACTTACCCTCCCAATCAATCTCAATCTGCCATTCATAGAGAAATATTAACTTCCCCTTACGAACGTGAACGTTAGCTTCGCCTTCACATTTAGAGACTTCAGTTATTTTACCAGAACCTTTAAGGTGATAACAGCAAATGGACAATAAAAGCTTACTTACATGAATCACTGTCAAAAGTAGAACCTAGCAACAGCTCTTTTATAGTTTTTACTGACCATTTAGTCGCATCTTTATCAGACCAGTGCCAATTGTTGACATTTTTGGCATCTGCTCGTTCCTCGACAATCCATCTTGGGTCACCCTCACCCCACTTCGCCATGCTGTTAGAAAGCAGTCGCAAAAGAATGCTCCCGAACACCAGTAGCGCGATAATTCAAGGTCACTGGGGGAACAATTTCTAGTCCAATAGACAATGGAAGGTCCTGGTAGGCTGGACTTATTCGTCACGTACTCTAGAAGTTACGTTTGGAATTTTTTTTGCCAATAATTTTTAATAAAATTGTATTATATGTTATCTAGATTGAGGGAAATTCCCACTTTTTGGCTGGTTATGTTGGTGTCCGCCTCATGTGATCTGACTGCGACACACTTTTAGCATATTGGTTGCAATGATTAGTGTTTCAGATGGAATGTATCAAAATGTCGGTGTAATGAGGGAGATAGGATAGTTAGAGGGTAATGCCATTTACACCACTCATTTACTCCATGTAGAAGCTGCATCTTTCGGCATAGTATCATTCAATGAAGACTTCATGTCTCAGGATATCAGTACAGCCTATTTTCGTGTGAAGAACAGTCTTTTTTGACAAAATAATTGTCTCAATACTTGGAAATCACCTGCAAATGTTATCAGAATCGTTGGTGGGAACCTAAGTTGTCATTTAGATGTGCTTTTCACTTTATCTGTGGTTGGACAGGAATTATGGTAAGTTGAAAGGTTATCTCTAAATGGATTTCATATATATTGGCACTGGTTGGTGCAGTGTGCTATGGGTTATGTTAATTAAATGTACAAAAATATCTCAACTGTAATAATATTGGGCCATTGTCTACTTAGCTGATTGATAGGATAACAAACGAAGGTGGTTGTCACGATTATTGCAAGTACAGTGCAGTGGAGAAGGCAATTACTCGTTTAAGTTTCCTTGTTGTTCCAATTAATGCACTAAATCATTACGCGGTATGATTATACGCATGAGTCGTGGTGATTACTAGAACTGAATCTATTCAGCTTTATTATCATCAATATGAATTTATTCTCCTTTACAATTTCCACTGACTGTATACTTAATGCTGCAATATTTTTGATCACCAATAGTGGAGATGAATTTCATTTATATACACCTAGAATCCACTTCTACTCTTCTAACTTCCTCAGATTAAAGAAGGGTCTTAAAAGCCATTACATGGTTTTTATCAGTTGTAAAATGGGTAAAATGATTAATGCTTACCTTCATAATACATGGTAAGTTGTTTGCAATAGAAGTTTCATATCCTGAATGTTAAAATATCAGACAGCCTTGATAGACTTCTGAATAAAATACTGTTTCTCAAAAGTACTTGTTTGGCAACTGACTGTGTACATATGATCTGTCTCTACACACTGCTTAACTCACAAGTGACTGCAAATCAGTCTGCATTTGAAATATTTTATTCGCATCACAGTTTCCGTGGGCTTCTTAGCCTACACAAACCCCGCAAAACACGTTCACTGCATAAAATGCTTTCGGGTTACATACAGCAGCTCGCGCCTGACCCTTATTTCACTATGAATATTGTCAAATTTCAGATGGCCTAATAAATTGCACACATTTAAAGTACATAAAACTCATTTGTCGGTCCGAGTTTACATAGCATCATCAGAAGTATCAGCAAACGCTTTCCTCACATTCCTCATGTCATAAAAAACCAGATATTTCCATACGAACTTTGAACAATTGGCTGACTGGTAGATTGCTTGCCAGCCACACGAAGGTGATGGATCTGATTCCCCAGTGACCTGCTGCCAGGATTTTAGTTCACTGGCCAGTGACAAGCCTGAAAGGGCAGAAAGTTGGGCGTGAGTCTAGGGTCCCCATGCCGCACAAAAACATCGCAAACAGAGGTACTACAAAGCTTGGAAACCTGTGTTCACTTCGAAAACAAGGAGTGAGAGAAGTAAATCCAAGTAAATTAATATCCAGTATGTTTCATGGGGACTTTCTTGACGCAGCAATGGCTAATTAGGGGTGAAGCAACATTATCATTTCAGATCAAAAATTAAGTGTGTGCATTTAACAAATCGGCACAATGATATTTTTGGAACTGGTAGCCACTGGTGAGCAACTCGAAGGAGCGAATGGTTCGATCGTGCACAAGTTCGACGAGGGCAGCCGAAAACGAATAAAAGTACTTCATAATTTTGTATAAAATATTTGTTTATAGACTTTTATGGCGAAGTTAAACTTTCGACACCACTGACTACCAATCAGCGAATTATCCAATGAGATTCACGAAAGATGTCGAATTATCCAATGAAGTTCACGAACGCAGTTCAATGTTTTATAGCGCTTGATTCATTTCTAATGCGTGACCTAACAAAGCTATTGTTGCAATTCGAGGAGGCTAGCGTTTTCCAGTATTTCCTGGATTTCAGTTGCGCCGGAAAGAGCGAATTTGTTTGTGTGGTGGTATCATGACTTTAAAAAGCTATACCAAATGAACTGATGGGTTTGTTCATCGTTGTGGTATGTTTGAAGCCTAATAACGCTAGAGAGAGTAAGCTGATAATTTTAATATTTCGTAGCAACTTTTTTCGCTAGGTCGCTTCTCTCCCTAAGGATAGCAGATAGAAAAGCAACTACTACCTATTATTACCAAACTTGTTAAGCGGGGGTCAATTATACGCACCGACAAGTGGAAAGGCTACAATTCACTGTCATCTCTGGGATATATTCATCATAGAGTCAACCATTCAAGTGATTTTGTGGATCCCGTTACGAGGACACATACAAATTCTATTGAAGGATTTTGGGGCAGGTTGAAAAATAGGATAAGGGCTATAAATGGATCTCATTTATGGTCATTTGGATGAATATATGTACAGGATATGGTGTAACTTCTCCATTGACAGTCCCATGCTAAACTAGGAGATGTTTCTCTCACATGTTCGAGAAAGATATCCCATGTAACTTTTTCATTCTCTATTTTATGCTTTTTTCTACAAATATACATTTCCATTCATCAAATATGCCTCTTTAATGTGACTGGTCCGTTCAAGGTCGTTTGCTGATTGGTTGTTAGTGGTGTCGAAAGTTTAACTTTGCCACTTTTATTATTCTCCGCTTTAATTGCCAAACCGTATAATTTCCTCCTTACAGTACTGGTGTTTTGGAGTTAAATTCGAAGAAAGTACATAGTTTTATCGATGCGGAGCGTCTTCGTAACAATAGGAACTTAGGGATAAGTTATAGCCAGGTGACAAATTGGCCCTCTGATCATTCATGATAGGCTCAGGACTGCGGTGACAGGGTATATGTTTTGAGTAAGTAGCCTATTCCATATACTGTATGTATGATCTCATCTAATCTGCAACCAGTATCAGCTGGTAATGCAGTAACTGCTCCGTTAATGAATCGCGCATTACGACGAACGTCCTTTTTGCTAAATTCCAAGTGAGAACCAACATGGACTCCTAAAATCCAGATGATGTTCAACCTGTCATCCAAATTTCTCTAATATTGTGACCAGTAGCAGCGACAAACTACAACTAGTACTTAAAACCTACTTTGACATTCCTAAGGCATTTGATCCTGTTGACCATTTACCAGCAAATACGTAAGCTGAATTCCTTAGGAATAATTGGCTCCTCATCTGAATCGCTTAAATCATTCCTCAACAACAGGTCCCATGTAGTTAGGCTTCGGTCTGAGGCTTCTAAACATAGCCCGACCACTTCTGTAGTACAAAGTAGCGACATTGGTCCCCTCCTATTTGCACTTCATATCAGCGACATATATGCTTGCTTCCCACATGGAAAATCATTCACCTTTGCAGATAACCTAAAAGTAGCCCACAAATTCCAGTGTGATGTCTTAGGGTATCTTCGGAATGTTGTACAGAATGAATTAGATAAAGTGACCTTCTGGTCATCTTTATGGAATCTACAATTCAAACTGAACAAATACGGTTGAATCTGCTTCGGCGCACCATCAGTCGACATAAAAGTAACTCCTCAATCTGCCGAGCTACCCGGACTCTAAAGACGAGGATACCTTAAGGATGATACCCAGGAGCTTTCACGACAATGAAGTTAAGCTCATTCTATGCAAAATATGTGTAAGGCCACTACTAGAATACTGTCTATTTATGATTGACAGCATTCCCTTACGTAAGAAGCTGAGAATGGAACGTGCCCAGAGATATTTCACGCCCTAAAAACTTGTTGAAGATTTTAAGGAAAACAACATTTCACGGCGCATGATTATAAATCTTTACCCACTTTGAACGAGACGACTTATTATTAACATAATATACTTTGCCAATGTGGTTGAAGATTGATCGATCAATTCATGGTTGTTTGCTCAAACCCAACTTCCCCATAGTTTTCGCGGAGTCATCAATCCATCAGTCATCGTCTCATCGGTCGCTGTTCAGAAGGAAGATTAAAAAACTATCAGAAGTAACATCGTGATTTATTGTTACAACATTTGTTCTTAGACCTTTCTCTGTAGTGACAGTATGGTTGGTTACATGTTGGCGTTAGAATAAGGGATTCCTGAGTCGCCAAACAGTGTTTTGGTTTTCGCGTCGGTTAATACTAGGCGTTTCTGAAAATCTTCAACGGACGGCGTGAGGCCCAGCGCAGCAAGAGCTGGACATTGACAGTTTGTGTGACTTGACTAATATTCTTTTTTAGGGCCTGTGGTGAGAGCAGCCTGCTGGCCAATTTGTTGACATTAATCTACGTCAATGTCTAGGTCACTAATATGGGCCGTGAGAAAATATGAACAAGGCTGTTTCAGCAACCTGTCAATCACGTCTCATAAACCGTTAATGCCCAGCTCTCGCTACGCTCGGGCCCACGCTGTTCTTCGAAGATTTCTCAGAAACACTTAGTTATAACGGACGCAAAGACCAAAACACCGATCTGCCGCTTGATATTTGTTTATTGTTACACCAACATATAAAAGGAATAAGCGAACTAAGGTCTGAAAACAAATATTACAATAATAAATCATTGTATTACTTCTGACGATGTTTCACTCTTCTTTCTGAACAGCGACCGATGAGACGATGACTGTCGTATTGATGCCTCCGCGAAAATTGGGGAAGTTGATTTTGAGCAAACAACCAAGAATTGATCGTTCAATCTTCAACTCCATTGACACAACCAATCACAGCAAACTCAAACGTAGGCAAATTTGATTCGCAGATAGATGGCTCCACTTTCCGAGGAACTGGAAAACAACCAATCAGAAGGCTGCGTTTGTCTACTTGGCTAGGCTATAATAATGTATGTGAAATTTATATAAAAACGTGTTGATTTCCGTAATAAAACGATCTGTTGCCTGGCTCTTGTCTTCTGTTGTTACAGGCCCTACATAAAATATTATTCCCGGACGATGAGAACACACGATTGTCACCTCATGACTCTTAAAATCTGTGGAACCAAACGTTTATGGTGACAACAATAGCCTTTAAATCATCACTTTGCGAAAATTTCTTCAGAGTCAAATTTTCAGAAATGTGGACCAATTTACTTCTAAAATTCAGAACCTGCACCTTGGTTGCGAGCTTCAAATGCTCCCCTTCATCTTAATTATCACTCAAACAATAAGAATGCATTATTTGTTTACAGAACAAATCAAATATTAGGACACTTTTATATCAAAAAATAGGGTAAAACCTCAATAATTACTCTGCATAAATGCATATAAAGACTGAAGGAACATAATATGTATGTTCACTACGCGAAAAAATACAATTGGTAAAAATATGTACATATTGTGACATTACGGTTTTATTTGTCTACATATACTTTTCTATTTCTGGTATTTTGCCTTTTCTCTATCCTCTTCCATTCGCTCTGTAGTGGAAATTGTCAGGTCTACAGTAAGACTGAAGTTAAATAAGACTTGAAGCCATTTACTCATGTATACCACATCATTCTTGAAACTGCTGGTTTACAACAACTCAACTTCTTTGAAAGCTCCCATATCATCATATCAGGTCGCTGAATAACATTCTGCACGAGAAGTACTCACGATTTAAGATGAAGACAAAACTGATTCTTAAACAGTTTTCTCCATATAAATCAGCCTATATGAACAGAATACAACGCATCCACAAGTGACGGTATTGGCCTGTTCTATCATCCTCCTGGTCAATAAAAAATATGACTATGGCCGACATTCGTTTGCCCGGAGTATAATTCGCTTCTGGTAGCAGACTGTGGTCACACTGCTGAGGAAGTTATTTAAATGCATGATTCAGCTTAAACTAACACAACGTCTGACTATAAATCAGGAATAGGATTCGACGTTGTAAGCAGCTAAGTTATATGGAAAAGTTACTTCAGGCAATTTCGCCCCTAGTATTCGTGATCCACCCAACACAGATTTCGGCTTTTTTTACCACGAAGACAATATTTCTATATTTCCTAATGTACTATATTTACTGACCAGAAAGCAGATTATTCCTGCTAATTGAAGACGAAATGAGCAGCGTCCATTCAAACTAACAATAAACCAAATTTTTGTAATTCAAACAATATTTACCTATGCCTTTATAAATTGTGTACCTGCATGGATAAAAGTGAATACATTATTATCATATATACTGCAAAGACAGTAATGCTAAAAAGTCTATAACACTTGCAATTTGTAGAATTCTGCTGTTCAAATCTGCGTGCTTTTAGTCGACCACATCAGTTTTGTAAATATAACACATGCCGTCTTCTGAAAAAAGCTGAAAAATGCATGTTAGTAGCTTTGTTATCAATATGCCCTCAAAGGTGTATTTGGTTAACATTTGTGATAATCAAGGGTCTAAATTTCTTAAATTATCAACCTACCATTCTCTTGGATGTTTTTAACCGAGATTTATGGTGCCCCTATGAACCATTCTTCATCTCTAGCTTCGGACACCTGGAATAGTAGGCTGCAGGATAACATGACGCAACAGCTTGTTTCAAGTGTCAGAAATTCACTTGCCACTACACTTATCTGTTGTGATTGTAAGAGTTTGCAGTCAGTTTTCTCAAATAACACATTTGTTATTTGTTCTTGATATTATTTTTATCTGTGACTGTATATAATGATGCATCAGCACAAGGTACACATGTGGTGGACTTTTTACTCTGTTAGGGTAGTATCCCAAATTCAAATAGAAAATAAAATACCAAATCAGTTTAGTTACGGGAAGAATATATTAAAGTTTCGTTACTTGGGTTTACAAAGATCCAAAATCCACAATAAACGTGTCAGACTCCAGAGATACTGCTGGAAGACTGCTCCAATACTAATTCTCCAATGTTGACGTTGCTGGAGGTCGACCAAAGTACGTGGAAGAAACTACGGTGTTCCAGAGAAAATTTGAGATAGAAAGCAGGTGGTTAGAATTGATCGATGGCATTTGGGATGGTGGAGAAGACGGAGAGTTGGAGGCAGAACTATATTTTTATTCAAAACCAGAGGTAAAGTTCAAAGTACAGAGTTTGTGGTTAAAAAAAGTAATGTACAATATGTTCATTTCTTACATAGTAGTAAAAATTGGATAAGTTTATTTTTGAAGACTCCACACACAGAGAATGTTGAAGAAATGAACTCGGATAGGATACCGAAATTGTGGAAGCTATTGTGAAATGCAACTGTCTTTTGACTCACTTTGACTGTGCAAAACTGTTGTGAAAGAAAAGTACACAATAATGGATACTCAACATAACATAACGTGACAACCTGCTAAATGATAAGGACAAGTAACTGTACCAATATATAACAGGATTACTTAGTCACTGTAAAGTTCCAATATATTTTGAAGCAGAAACTGTGTTAAGAATTAATTGTGAGTTAAGTTCAGTTTTTGGTGTTAGTTAACAGGTGTCGGAGTATCGTATAGTTTGGATTAAGGTTGGAGGTGAATCATAGGTGGGACCTCTGTTAAGTTGTAGCTTCTGGTTAGGTTTCATGTTTTGGGTGAATGGGTTATTATCCAATTTAGTGCCTATTCACAATGACATACATTTAACCCTGATTTAACGCTTTTTTGTTCGTTGTTTCATTCCAGATTCATTTTTGTGGTGCGTAATTTTTCTTAATATGTAAATTTCTTGATTAGCTTTCAAAGATCACTCAGCGAGTTGCTGTGTAACTTCAGATTTTCAATTGAAAGAAAAAAATCTATCAAAAAGAGATTCCATGTGAATGTAACTATTTCATTTGTGTGTATATTCTTCCTTGTTTGTACCTATCATTTATAACATTAGTGGTACTCTCACTTATGCAGGCGGCCTATTAGAAATGAACTCACCTGATCCTTACGGATGTTTAGTGAATGAGAGCAAGATCATTGAGAAGCATACAGAACAAAGGCTGCAAAATGATCACAAGATGGATAATCTCATTCTTTTGGTCTACATTGTGCTCTTGACACTTTCTGTCATAACTATATGGGTATTTAAACACAGACGCTTTCGTTATATTCATGAGACCGGACTTTCAGTGGTGTATGGTATGTTATGCTTTTATTTTCTGAATTCCAGGGCTCATCGTCGGCATTATACTTCGATATGCAATCAAATCTGCAGAGTTTTCAGTGGTGTCACATGTTCTTTTAAGGAAGTCGGATGAAGCATGTGGTCGCTTACCTCCTGAAAGGTTGATCATCGAATTACCAGTTCATGATCAGTATGGGAAGTTAAATCTAAGTATGCTGTTTCGGTACAAGTTTGAACAGCAGTCAGATGTTGACTCACTAATAAATGATAAGGTATGTTTGTTTGTTGTATTATTCCCAGGCTACCTTCGACCCGGAATTTTTCTTTAATGTTCTGCTACCTCCTATAATCTTCTCGGCAGGATATAGCATGAAGCGCGTATGTTTAATTTATGTTCACGTCTTTTTGTTAGGGTCACTTTTTCAAAAATATCGGGGCTGTGCTTACCTATGCATTTGGTGGCACTTTGTTGTCTTCCCTAGTTGTTGGGTATGTCAAAATGCTAATAGTATACATTTGCAGGACACTGTGCTATGGATTTACTCGTGGGATCAGCTCATTGTCATCAAACTTGCGTCTTTCAGACTGTCTACTGTTTGGTGCAATTATATCCGCAACCGACCCTGGTAAGACTCAGTAACTGTTTGTAAATTTTAAAGTAACTGTCTTGGCCATTTTTAGTGACCTGAGGGTTGACGTCAACTTGTATGCGCTAGTTTTTGGGGAGAGTGTACTTAATGATGCTCTAGCAATCGCCTTAGCTCAGTAAGTTATATTGCATTATGTATCTTTTTAATTATATATATATATATATATATATATATATATGAAAGTGTAGTAATCACTAGTTTTCTTGCTATTATTGGCGTAGTGTCATTTTTTAATGTTCCGATATCATAGTCTAAAGTATTTCAGCTTTCTTTTAGGTCTATTGAGCAATATGGAACACTTTCTGCTGGCAATTTTGACGGTTATGCACTTTTGTCTTCTATACTGGATTTCTTTGCGATGTTCGGGGGCTCTTTGATAATCGGCGTTTTTGTTGGCTGCGTTACTTCACTCCTTACAAAATTCACACACATCAAGGAACATCCTCTCCTCGAAACAACTCTCTTTGTACTTATGTCTTATAGTACGTTTCTTTTCGCTGAGGCTGTTGGCCTTACCGGTGAGTGGTATGGTTTTTTGATTAAATACATGTACTTTTTAATTAAAGTAAAAAATAATTCGTTTCACTCACTTCTGTAGATGTAAAGCGTTCTCATGTAAATAATTCAGATTCACACTACATATAATGATAAGATGTATTGCAGTTGGTGGTTTTCGCAAGACGTATCATGTGATCGAATGACCTGATTAACGTCTGAAGTATTTTTATCAGTATTTGTTGTGTTTAAAGCCACTAAATATATTTATTTAAACTACTGGTGTTTTAGTTTAACACCTACTAGCTTATTTTCACTGTACAAAGTTATGCGTTTGTTTTATCTTTTGATTCTAAGTGGTCATGAGCTGAGGCGTTCTCGAATATCTTAAAATTTTGTGACCAGTGCTTCTTATCTTTTTTCATTGGTATTACTGCCTGTAGCAGTTATACAAGTGTTGTATTCTGGCAACTTGTTTTCATGGACAAGTGGAAACCTGAAGTATTAGGAATTTTAATCTCTCCTATTGTTAAAAGAAAAGATGAAGGGTATGGTTAACAGTAATTTAGTTTATCCTATGAGTAGGCATACAGGTGGGGGTGTGTGTTACAAACATATTGTTCCTGGCGGTATTTTTCACTATTAAAACAACATGTCTGTGTTTAATTTGAAGAAATATACGTACATTGAATGTTCCCAGTATTTAACAACATTCCCTCATCTGTCTGGTTATGTGGAATCTGTCAAGTTCTAGAATTCAGTCCTGAATTCATTTTTCCAACAAATACCTCTTCGAAGTATAGCAAACGAACAATGATTTAAAGAAAACCACATAGAACTGCATATGTGTGGGATGTAAAATATTCCAGTCTGAACAAATGGAGAGAAAGACCGATGGCGGAGTTTATATTCATAAACGTTACCCCAAAAATATTGAATAAAGGTAACTCACCTCAACTGTAAACAACCTGAAACATAACTCTGGATACGAGGAAAATGGGTAAACTCAAAGTGGATGTATTATGTATTCGATTATAAGTGTATGAATTAAAAACAATTCAAAAATTAGAGAAACTTTTCATTGAAATACAATAATTAATTGAAGCGTAGATACGTTATACGTTCATAAGCCAATCGATATGCAGACTGAGTCCTTGGGTGAGCTTTCAAAATTATATCGTTTATAACATTATTCCTTTTTTAGCCCCACAACAGCATTGACCATAAACTTGGTAGATTAAATAATTTTCTCAGTAGCTCTTAAAAGAAATTAAGCGACCGAATATGTTTTACTTTTTGTTTGCAGCACAACTGGATAGTTCAAAATTAGTCACGAACATATGATGTACTCCTTGTACTTTTTTATCAACACCTGCTTATTCCTCCTCACAACTCACCTTACTGGCTTCTATATCATCATTTTATTTCTGTTAAGTTCCTATCTTTGTATTGCTTCAAAGTGTGTCAGTTCAGACTGATGCTTTTATGACCAGAGTTCTGTATTATTCCCTAATCTTTTTTTTTATTCAAAATGGGGTTACATACATTAAATTTTTAGCTTTGAAAATAATATTTGATTCTGTTATCAGAAATGTCTCAATTGACATTCGGCAGAATGTGAAAGTTTCATTTACATAAGAAAAGTTTTGTTGATGAGTTGTTAGTTCCTACCTTAGCAAAGCTGTTATTGTTTAGCACAGTAGTCATTTTTAGACTCATCTGATGCATGCTACCACTTTCAAATTTGCTTTAGACTGTTATTCGTGTTTCAGTTACAACTCAAAACTGTGAGTGCTTCAAACACTCAGCTGCAGAACTGGTTTTAGGATGTATGCATGGTAAACTATGGAGTGTAGTAAGGTTTTAACACACTGGATTTAGGGTCAGACTTTCATTCAGAATGCTACAAGTCTGGACTCTGGTCAGTTTATATAGTTTTGAACTATCGGAGAATATCACTTGCATTACACACTGTTTGGTATCACACATTACATTTTTGCATAGAGAGCACCTGCTTTAATTATAGAAATTTGTGGGATGATAACAAGTTAAAGTAAAATCTTGGATCGCCACAGGACTTAAATCAGTAGGCCGTGGAGGTCTTTTTTTGGCTTTTAAATTCATATAGAATGAATGAGATGTATAGACGTTTTTGTAATTTTATATAGCAGATTACATGTGGAATTTTCCCTCCATTTTAAAGTTTTTGAATATATTGTCACCTTAGTTTTCTCATCTTCCCTGAGTAATGTTGATCATTGGTAAATGCATATGGTGATTTTAGTAATCTAATGATCTACTTTTAGAATCTTCTTCAAGAGTAAGCCGACAAAGAATTAGATTGTTACCATGTGTTTGGGAATCATTGAAAATCGAAGAGTGCTGGGCAGCTGTTGCATTCTAGTTTAAAAACTTTCAACAGGACACACCCATGATCAAGAAGAGGCAACGGTTCGATTCCTGATGGGTAAATAGATATGTACTACTAAATGGTCCGAAACTAGGGTGAAGCAGCTATTCATTGCTCCATAGTTTTCAATTATTCCTCAGCTTACGTTAGTTCATGATTTAACCTTGTCAACAAATCTTTCCTGTCGACCATAAACTCGTTATAAAATGACGCGGTTAAATAAGAAATGTTATTTGGAGATAACTATAGATTATTTGTGGAAAAGATAAATACACTCATAAATGTCATTTATTAAGGTGTTGGTCTGTTATTTCATTGCATAGTAACTGCCTCTATGAAGCGTTGGTGGCCCATTTTCTATGTATATTCTTGTTATTGTTCGAACGTTAATTGTGTTTTACTTATGAATCCATTAATGTTTTTGTCTAGGTATTGTTTCTGTATTATTCTGTGGTGTAACACAAGCCCATTATACTTACAACAATCTGTCTGATGAATCCAAAGTGTGGACAAAATCCGTAAGTTTCCTCGATTTTCATTAATATTTTGCATGAAAATATGCTAAATTTACTCCAACAGTATGAATTCATAAAGCTGAATGATCTTGTTAACCTAAAGTGCAAAATTATTTTAGAATGTGGAAGAATGGAATTTTATAAATCATATATTTTTAATCACACATTTCCACAACATTTTTGCAAAATTTTGAAATCAAGTAAACTGCAGCCAATTAATTTCAACCTTCTTCGCCTTGACAAATCGCATGTTGATAAAGCATTTTTGCTTTTGGAGTTGTTGTTCTTCCATTTAGGCACTTAATTCGCAACCAATGGATTATGAGTGTGAATTTATCTACAAATATCGTGACCATCGTAGCCAAGTAGTGTTACTGAGCCTCTCAAAGTATGTGGTTCAGTATTTAGTGCACAAACGTACATATGGAGGACGACTCGCTTTGACTGACTGATGCTTAGTCATTTTCAAGACCACATGAATGATTCCTTGCAGCTACACCTATTGCACACAAACAATTCACAGTTATATGTATGTAGTGTCAGATGATTTGTGTTCATACCAACTGTACCCGTGCTGGAATTACACCAGCTACCATTCCATCAATGGTGATACAACTTCCCAAATAGGTGGAGTCGTCAGCACGCTTAGACACTTTACTGTGTATCTCTAGGGTCTAGGAGTCGGTACAGGCCACTCATACAACGTTACATTACATTGTTAGAGGAAAATGACATGTCAAATTCACTAATATTTCCGCTCAAGGTATCTAGAAGACTGCATTTTGTCAGTATCTTCATCTAGGAGGATTATATCATTTGCATATTCTAAATCGATGAGACTGCTTCCTGGTAACGAGTCAATCTCTGAGTTACTAAAGTCAATTATAGTCTAATCACAGTATACACACAATTTCCACTGAAATCCTGTCAAATACCTATTTTTCTACCCTATCGCTCGATGTTATTTCTCAGCAAGTTCAGTCTAACTAACCGAAGAATCTACCAGCATTCGCAAGTTGATTTTTGTAGTTTTACCATGTTGGACAGGGGAGGTTGATTAAAGAACCACACTCAGGTCTTCTATGTGTGTCCCGAAGCATAACATATATCTCTAGACCGAGATGCCACAGTTCTGACTCATGGGACGACTGATTTACGCTGGTCACATCGCTTGTTTGAAGATGATTTTGGAGCTGCTCCCGGCTACGGACCACCTTAAGGTAAGTCTGGATGTACAATCTTGAGCAGTCGACATTTTCTAGGGAAAAGAGGCAACATCCTTGTCTTGCTGGTTATTCACTTGAAAGACCTTACTGTTATTGCATTCTTGGAAATGAGTGAGTATATCTCCATCTTACTGTCATTCGTGTGGATAATCTGAGCAGCTGTGTTGCTAACATTAGTTTCAGGCAGTGTAGCTTGTTAGGTCATTGTGATATGCAAGCCCAGCTACCACGTCATAGTAGCAGCTATCGGTTAGCCAAGTCTAGAGTTCTGTATTTTCGGGTCCCTCATTCATTTCACTTCCATTCAGCGTCGGTGGCACAGTGGTTAGGACTCTCGCCGACCATGCATATAGTCCGAGGTTCGATCCCCTGCCGACGCACACCTGATATCTATGATCGGCCTGCAAAATTTCGGCTACCGATATCCATGCTGAAAATTCCATACTTGTACCAAAAATACAGTGTGGAATCAAGCTGTAATCAAAAATAGAAATAAATAAATAAGTATCGATTAATGCTAACAAATTAATTTTTTGTCGGATGTAGTGTTCTCTCAAGATAGTTCAGTAAAATATTTTTCAACTACTGCATTTCGAGACTTACTTATTTCCATCATCAAGGTCTACAAAAGTCTTTTTAGTTTGTTTGATGCACAGTGGTAAATACTTTTGACCAGGTGTTTTTTTATCAAATCTGGTGTAAGTGAATCAGGGATTTACTAATTTATATTTCCTCTGTAATTCGTACAGTCTGACATAGGGTCAGGCTGGAAAAGAGCTAGCGGCGGTCAGACCACAATATGGCCTCACCAGTCAATGAAATCTACAACAGTTAGTTTAAGCCACGTAGGAAGGTGTAGACTTCCTGGTTGGAGCCCTCGGGACGGTGAAAACCAATGTTTGGAAACAATTGGTGACATCGCTCAAAATCGTTCTCAATGGCGCAGATGCATCCACTCCTTGTGACTTATGATTTCCAATGAAACTGTTTTGTTCTTCGTTATTACTATTCCTTTGTCTCACACTTCAACTTACTGTCTCTATTATGCATTTCTTCTACTCTCTTCTCTTGCTTTGTGTGGTACATGGAGTGTGGCGACTTGAACTGGTGCACATCGGTGCAAAGTTCTATGTCGAAAACAGACAGACAGATAGTGTAATGCTTTTCACTAACGAGGTTTGCGTAGTGAAGAATGAATTGCACCTATTATCTGAAGGTTAGGACTTCACTTGACTGTAAAAATGTGGTTGAGTGGTGTAAGATTTGTAATAATTGTTCTTACCTTCCCCTATACCTGGGAGTTGTTGTAAGATGACTGTATTTGCATTTGATTTGTGCAGTTAAAGCATTGCTTGGTTAACTTAATCCAGTTAACCGTATTGCTTTTAGCTTTAAGCTAAGAACAGTAGATTAGTTTCTTGTCACACGTGATTTACAGTTTATGGTGAATTATATGATCCTAACTAGTACCGATAAAGGGAATTTCTTGGGACTATAGTGAAAAATGCTTTTTTATCAGTTTGAAATATCACAAGGGGTTCCGAATAATTTTTGTCCATATGAGAGCAGGACCAGAGACTCTGATTCTGAATAGCATCAAAACTGAAGCGTAATTTTTTGTATTTTCGGTAAATAGGTTGTATTTTTCATGAAATAATGGATCACTTGAGGAGGTCTATTGCTCTGTCCGATTTGGCAGAGGGGCTCGACCTTAAATACTCCATTGTGAAGTTGGTGGCGTGGCTTTGAGAGGCTATCGGGGGTGTTTTTCTGGCTCTCATCGTTATTTATGGTCACAGAATGAAATGAAGGTGACTGACTAGCCTGCAAAATAGTACTGACAGTCCTCGGGACTCTAGGAATCAATGGCTGGAGACAATAGGTGACATGGCTCAAAATCATTGTCAATGGCCAGCGCAGATGTATTCAGTCTCTGTAATCTTTCATATTCCTTCCTACCATTACCCATTCTGTTTCACTCTCATACTTGTCAAACTCTGTTGATTCTCTCCACTCATCTTCTTGTCTACCTCTGTGTGCTATTTGGAAGGTGGCAACTCGAACTGCTGCACTTCGGTGAGAAGTTCTATGTTGAATCCAGACAGACAGACTGACAGTAGTGAAGAGGCAAGATGATGAGGCTGATATGGATAAAGGATGTTGGTGATCAGGAGGGCCTCGTATGCTTTTGGAGTTGTGTGGGTGGTTGTTACTTTTCGGCTGCTCACACCATGGAAGTTGGTTGAATCTTCGGTTACCTGAAACAGAATGATAATTAGTGTTGTGTGACCGCAGAGTCCAGGAGACAACTGCTTTGAGGCCGGTCACACACGGTCTATCTGAACTGGCTTTACGGTTTGGTTTCGTATAAGTAACTTACCATCGGCTACGGACCTCTGTAGGGTAAGTTGGGATTTACAATTTTTGGGGGCGACATTTTCTAACCGCCTCTCTCCAGAGTGGAGAGACAGCACAGCTAGCATGCTGGTCATCTGAGGCAAACACCTTACTGCTGTTACATCCTTGTTCCCCAGCAGTACGACTTTACTCACAGACCCCCAGCATAGTGTAAAAAACTATCTTACACTATGCCTGAAAATGCTTTCAGTCTAATGACTATCCTAATAATCTTCCTGGCATCGTAAAACCTGTAGAAATATTAGTTCTAACCAGTGTAGCGTGTTAGGTCATTGCGATATGCAAGCCCAATCACCACATCAAGATAGCAGCTATTGGATGGGCAGGTCTGGAGTTCTATATATTCGGGTCCCTCATTAATATCTGCTGAGTGTAGGTAGAGACTCATGTGTATACTTTGCTTGAAGTCTTTGCTGAATTGAATAGAATATTGAATGATTTTGGGAATCGTTCCACAAACTGAATAGAGTTTACATCAAATGGAGTAAGAATTTCATTTTTAAGTTAGCATTAGTTCACAGTTAAACCCATCCAGCTTTAAGAACATAACAGTACAAAGATATTCTTCAGAGTAGCATGTCTCTATCACTTCACAAGTTAGCTTTTCTGTGTATTTTACGTATAGATTACATGGATACAAGCTTTTTACAATGTTTTATCTACTTGGTTACACATATCCCTTCAAACTGTAGGTATGTCACTCCATTTTTGGAGCGCCCGGTGGTTAAAGTGACTAGTATTATATAATTATATAATTCTCTTCATTTGCAATATAGTCTGTAAAAGCGATTAAACTCAAGGTACCTCGTCCCACCAATGATTCTAGCACAGATGCAGAACCTGTTTCCACTAATGTTCTCATTGATGAAGTTCAAAACACCATTGATAACCTCAATGAACAAGCCAGTGAATAGATCCTTAAGGTTGCCCAAAAGTCCAACAAAATGAGACAGCCACATACAGTTTAATAAAAATTTACGAAACAAATGAGTAAGTTTTGTATCTGAGGAAAATACCAGCCATACTCTTCAGTTGAAACTACAAGTATTATATTTTGACTAGAAAATAAAACTACTTGGGAAGCCTTTTGATATCAGTATTGTCTTGTAACTAGAAGGTCCTGTGTTCGAACCCCGGTGGGTGCGTACTGATGAAGAGTCCCAAACAAGGTCGAAACAGCTGTCCAGTACTCCCAGGTTTTCCAGTGGTTCCCTAAGTGATGTCAGCTCATGATGAAATCCTCCATGCAGTCAGTCATCTATCCGATTGGTTTTAATTATACTAAGATGGTTTATGAATAAATTGAGTGTACTGTTTTTGATTCACCAGTTAAATATATAAAGTTTTATATTGCTAATTATATTAAATCAAAATTTTTTTTTACAGTTTTTTGAACTTCTGAATTTCTTATCTGAAAACTTTGTATTTGCCTATATTGGTGTTTCAACATTCACTTTCCGTCATCACTATTGGGATATCCGATTTGTACTTATCACATTATTCGCATGTGTAATTGCCCGAGCTGTCAGTGTATACCCGTTAACAGCTCTAATAAACTTCTGTCGCAGTTATCATTGTTCATGTACTTCAAATTGTTTAAAAAGAAAGTCTAATGCTTATTCTATCGATAAAGGTATAATGCCTGGATCATCATCTTTGTCATCAAATACAATGGAATCAACTGATGTTTCGATTACTTCAGCTGGTGGCGGTGGTGGTGGTGATAATAGAAAGAGAGCTGTTAACAAAATTACTCTGAATTTTCAACATATGATATTTTTCTCAGGACTTCGAGGTGCTATGGCATTTTCATTAGCCATTCGTAATACAAGTTCTGAAATACGTCGTATGTTTTTCTCAACAACTATTGTAATTGTTGTGACTACAGTGTTACTTGGAGGTTGTTTCGCTATGTCTTTACTGCATCGATTAAATATACCGTAAGTCTTTTTAAAGCTTGTTTATCATCATTCCCCTTAGTTAGGGCTTATGTGTCAAGGTCCCTGCTGTTGTTTTCCACTGATATCCGACTAATGAAGTTAACTAATACTGAAAAAGGTGTATCATATTTTCTCAGTAAGAAAAATAACGCACTATTTAGAATCTAAAGAACTTTACACAGATGTGCAGCAGTTCGACTGGCCACACTACCTCCATGTAGCACACAAAGCAAGAGAAGAGAGTAAAGAGAGATGCAAAAGACATGATAATAATGAGAAATGTGAGGCAAAAAGAATAGTAATACGGAATTACTATGGATATTATAAATCACAAATAGTGAATGCATCTGCACCAGGCCAGTCATTGACAACGAAGATTTCGTGCCATATATCTCATCAATTATCTCCACCCTTCATTCTTTTTTACCATCCTGAGGACCCCAGCCAGTCAGGAAGTCTACACTTCCCTACATGGCTGACTTAAACTAACTTTTGTGGATTTCATCGACTGACGAGGTCATGCTTTGGTTTGACTACTACTGGCTCTTTTCCAACCTGATTGGACCTATTTCAGGTAGCATTACCCGTCAGTCGAGAAAGGCGATGACTAGGCATGCGCGACACGTGTCCTAACCATCTCAATCGGCTGAATCCATGGTTCATAATAAACTGTTCTTATAATCTAAAGATCAAACTAAGATATTTGCAGCGCAAGTTGTAGTTGTTCTGTTATTTTGGTTGTTCTTCACATTTATATATATATATATATATATATATATATATATATATATATATATATGTAACTACTGTGTCTCATTGGCATTTTATCAATAATCCTACTTAGTTTCGATCTAAACGTTTGATACATGTTTGTGTAGTTCGATATTCGATGAATCACACTGAAATGAATGTTTTAGAATCGCTCAAAATTCATTCCCACTTTTCATTTTATATTTAGTTAGCTAGTTAGTGTCAGTGTAGTCTCATCCGCTAAGTGTTAAGGCAGGCTTAGTGAAGTGTCTACCAAATCGAGCCATAGCGCTAAGTAGCGCAAGAAAAGACCTAAATGACGAAATATAACAGATAGAAGAAGCGTTGGTGTTGAATAACTATCCTATAAAATTCATTAGGAAGATCAGTAAAGGCCAAAAACAAAATAAAAATAATTGTGGAACTAGTAATGATAACATAAATAAGAGAAAATCTAAGTCATCCACTGTCATACCATATAAGGAGGGAACGTCTGAGACCCTACGTAGGATTCTAAATAAAGTAGGAATTAAGGTGGCATTTAAACAAACCCATTCAGGGACAAGTTCTGTAGGTTAAAGGACCCTGTCGGTTGACCCAATTAGACGAAATATAATTTACAAAATACCCTGCAATGACTGTTAGGTCAACTACATAGGTCAAACTAGTAAGTCAGGGGTAGTCAGATTGTCAAAACATAAGAATTTAGCTAAGGTAAGAATGGTTGACCCTAAAAAGATAAGTAATTTAGAAAAAAGCTCAGTGATTGCACTTCACGCATTAACAAACAACCGCATAATAGAATGGGATAGGGTTAAAATTCTAAAAAGTAATCTAGGCAGGTGGAGAGAGAGACAGGTTGATTACTGAATCCTTGTTCATCGAGTCTACACCCAACACATGCAACAGAAATGACTCAATACAAATACCACAGTTATGGAAGACATTATTACCGCCGGTCAAGTCAGAAGAGTATAATAAATCATCTTACACTTCCATTTCAATTCACGTACATCACAACATTCGAACGAGTAACTTATTATGACTATAAAAGTACTCGGCTTATTTCCCATCTGATTGTAATTGATCAGTAACACTCGTATTATTATTTCTGAATGTACATTATCTCACATTAATTTTAATCCAATATCTAATCGATTCAACACATGTATATAAGTGAAAGAAAAAAGTTGTGTGAGTAACTCGATATGATTATGAGCCCCTAGTTTGTGCTCAAAACGTCATCAGTTAATATAACTGTACAACACTGTGTGATTAATCAAAATAAAATCTCACCCATAATGGAGTTATACTCTACCACAATGCCCAAGTTCTATATTTATGTCAGTCTAGTGTTCTGTAGACTGGTAACATATATCATTAATGACTTGTATACTTGTATGATACCACCTTATAATTATTGTGAAATACTAATTAAAGTACTTTAATGTTGTTTTTTTTTCAGTGTCGGTGTAGACTCTAGTAATGAGAATCATGTAAGTTTTTATTAAGAGCACTGATCTCATGTTTCCGTAATATTTCGTATGTGGTGAATTGTATCTTTTCTAAGGAGAGTATAAAATGTTTTTTGTTTTTTTTTGTAGAAGGTATCGTACTCTATCAGATCAACATTAATTCCGTTATTCGTAGTAGGGTATATCTTGGCTTGGGGCTTTTTTCTAACTTGTTGTTGGCTTTTGTATCGAGTATAAATATCATTCAGTCATAAATAATTATTTATTTATTTAGCGAAAAAAAAGTTATACACTTTGTTATTATGAACACGGATTAAATATACAGTGTAATGTTAATTGTACACATTGAACCTTGTATTGTATTGTAAGATTATGAATACAACTGAAAATCAGCTCTAGTCCACATAGGATTGGCTTTTTTTGTACTACATATACTACAGTACATGTTATTCTTATAAAATAGTTGAGCTAATGAAATTCTAGTATATTTTTTCACAAATTTTAAGGGGGTTATTCAAGTTGTGCATAGTTAAGGGGAGAATACATGAAATGAATTCAAATCGTTCCAGTGTACTTTATTTCCCATGGATAGTTGAAATTTAATAAGCTAGTAGAACTATAAGTGGATTTATTCGCAAAGATTGTAATTCAGTAATTATTATTCAGTTATATTTTAAGTTTATTGAGTGATTTCTGTTCCACTTACTTATCCAGCGTTAGTTCAGTGAACTTTGACTAAAATAAACCTATTGTATTTACCTTTGTTCCAATCTATCATATTCCTGTATATTATTGTATACATGAAAATATCTAAGTTTTTTGTCTTTTAGGACTAATGATTTCATCGGTGGCACAGTGGTTAGGACTCCCGCCGATCATGCACATGGTCCGGGGTTCGATCCCCTGCCGACGCACACCTGATATCTATGGCCGGCCTGCAAAATTTGGGCTACCGATATCCATGCTGAAAATTCCATACTTGTACGAAAAATACGGTGTGGAATCAAGCTGTAATAAAAAAATCATTCTAACAATTTAATGTACCACAGTAGTTCGGTTCCACCCTAACTCACTTCAGAGACTCAGGGATTGACTTGTTACCAGGGAATAATCTCGTTGAGTTAGAATATGCAGATGATATAGTCCTCCCTCCTAGGTGAAAACACTGACAAAATGCAGAGTCTTCTAATTACCTTTAGGAGCAGCAGTCTTTGAATATTTGGCATGTGATTCGCTCCCGTCAAATGTAAGATGATGCTACAGGGCTGGACTACATCGACGCCTAGCTTAGAAATAGAGAGTGAAGTGGTAGAGCGTGTTGACCACATGACTTATTTGTGACAGTGCATCAGCCAGTGCCAGTGGGTTGACTGCTGACGAAATCTCAGCTCGGATACTGAAGGCTCGTATGGTATACGCCAAATTGCACCATCTCTGGCGTAGACATGATATCCGGCTGGCTGATAACCGAAAGGAGTGTATAATGCTCAGAAGTCCTCTCTGTCCTCCTTTATGGCTGTGAGCAAGATATGGCCATTGAGAGTGGAAGATACGAGGAGCCTGGTTAGTTGTCTTTGATCTTAGGTGCCTGTGTTCTATCTCCCGTGTGAAGTGATATAATAGGGTGAGGAATATTGAGGTAAGTTATGGACGTGTTATGCATGCCTAGTCATCGTCTTCCTCGACCGACGGGTAATGCTAGCTGAAATAGGTCCAATCAGGTTGGAAAAGAGCTAGTAGTGGTCAAACCAAAACATGGCCTCGTCAGTCAATGAAATCCACAACAGTAAGTTTAAGCCAGACATGTAGGGAAGTGTAGACTTCCTGACTGGCTGGGGTCCTCGGTAAGGTTAAAACCAATGAAGGCTGTAGACAGTTGGTGAGATATATGGCTCAAAATCTTCGTTGTCAATGACTGGCCTGGTGCAGATGCATCCACTCCTTGTGATTTATAATTTCCAATAAAACTATATTGTTCTTCCATATTACTTTTCTTTTTGCGTCACATTTCTGTTTATTATCTGTCTTTTGAATCTCTCTTTATCCCCTTTTCTCTTTTTGTGTTCTGAGTTAAATGTGGCAAGTCGAACTGCTGCACATCTGTGGAAAGTTCTAGTTTGAAACCAGTCAGCCAATCAGTTGATTCAACTTAGGATAATGAGTTACTTACTTCCATTCGAGCAAAGGTTCTCTAATTTTGATGTAATTATGAGTATAAAATTTTGTTCAAGATATCATGCAGTAAGTAATCTAATCTGCTCCTATGTATCGTATCAAAAAAATAAATTAACATGGTATTGAGATGGCATAGCTTACACTTTAGTGGAATCACATTCCAATGGTGACATCCCAACCTAAACCTTGTTAAAAATCTTTTATGTGTTCTTATGAATTCATTGACAGATTCTACAGGGTTTTTATGCTTTCTTTCCTTATTTAAGTTTATGACTCTTAATTCGAGTGCTTATACATAGAAAAACAGCATGTTTTATTTGATCTAGAGCGAAATGACTTCTAGTCTGAAAATTCGTTCTAACCTTATCGACTTCTTACAGGTACTAATATCACTAACTAGCTTCGTTTTTACGAGTTTGACCACGGATTGATATCAGTTAGAGAACCATTGAAAACAAGCAGGGAGTACTGGGCAGCTGTGTCATCCTAGTTAGGGACTCATCGGTAGTATGCACCCACTGGGGTTCAAGACCAGGACCTTCCGGGTACAAGGCAAGTTCGTATACCATTTAGCCACTGGGAGCCCGGTGGGTGCGAGCTGCTGATGATTCCCAAACTAGGATGAAACAGCTGTCCAGTACTCCCGGCTTGTTTTCAATGGTTCTCTAACTGATATCAATCCGTGGTCAAACTCGTAAAAACAAATCTAATCCTTACAAACCAACTCTTTATTTTATAATCCAACAAAAATTCTATTTTTTATATGATCTTAATGCACACAATACTGTATCATTGTATGCTTTATGAAATAAATATCCTTGACACGTGGTAGTAGCATACACCGTTTTATTTTTTGCAGATGCACGCAGACACAGATGAAAACCAATACGAGAATCGTGGTTGTTGTAGTTCTCGGTGGATACGTTTCGATAAATTGTAAGCAGTGACTATTTTTTTTGTTTGCCTTTGTTTATCTTTCTGACATGCATAAGGTGGTGATATATCATTTTTGTTAGACAATCCAGTTTGACTTAAATATGCTTCTTATAATATATGATGTAGTAATTATCGTTCTCAGTGGGAAAGTAAGATTTATAGAAGATGACTCTTTTTCTTCAATCTATGCTACTTAGTTCCCTCTTTTTGAGGTTGGCTTGGAATTTTCCAGTTGCTAAAATATTACAGTTTGTGCGCTTATAGTATTTAGCTTGCTTGTTTCTGTTGTAAATAATCTAACCTTTAGGGTGGTATTTGATATTGTCTGGGTAACTGTAATAGTAATATTTTATTGGTATTAATGGTAATCATGGCAATGATAATAATAATAACTACTACTACCCTTATAACGTCCGTCTACATTTATGAAGTAATTTGATTGTGATGTATATACACGTAAGCCTTTGACGCTTACCAGTTATTGTGGAATTGTTTATGGTCTTCGCTCCATGTTATTGATTTGTTTTTGTCGATAGTGTAAATTCAAAGAAATCAACCAAGCTTATGTAGTTGAAATATGATTCCAGTTGGATTATTTTCGAGATGATTGGTTTCGTCGGTGGCACAGAGGTAGAATGCTCGCCAACCACGAATGTGGTTCGGGGTTCGACCTCCAGCCGACGCAGACCTTTACCTCGCTAAGCCACTAATAAGACTGGTAAAGGGGGAAGGTTAGGCATGAGTCTAGCAATCTCATCTCATAAAAATAAATACCACTGCTACTTGGACTTCAAGCCTCTAGTTGGAAGCCCTATGTTCCACTGGCAACGTAAAAGAATAAAAATATCGGTTGAAAAGTTATTTTAGATCTTTTTCTGTTAAAAAATTATTTTAACAATTCATAATAAGGAATGTAACCGAAGCCTGTGTTGTAGCAGGTCCCCCACCGGGTTACCAATAGAATCTTATAGATAAGTTTATAGAGTAACGGATTGATAGCTTAGAGATCAGAAGTAACTATTTTGTCACAACTGGAGGCCTTATATTCAACTTCATTCATTACTTTTTATTATATTAATAGCAGTCTACTGATTTCGGGCTAACTCATAGTCTGGACAATTGTCGTAACCGAAGACATTGGCTAGGGGTCGCGCTATGTCGTGAATTGGCAGAAGTTAGAATTCATGGACTGGCCATTGGATCGGGTCCTAGTGACCTAATGGTCTACGAACTCGCCTTGTAACCAGAAGGCCCTGGGTTCGAACCCCAGTGGTGGGTGCGTACTGATGAAGAGTCCCAAACTAGGACGAAACAGCTGTCCAGTACTCCCAGGTTTTCCAATGGTTCTCTAACTAATTTCAGCTTATGATGAAATCCTGTAACCAATCAGTCAAATCCCAAAAAACCACCGCTTGAATTGTCAAATTGTTCATTAGCGATCTGTATATACATTGTTATTACAGTCACGTTTATAGTTGTTACAGCAATCATAATGGTAAATACTAATAAATTTCTCTCTCTCTCTCTCTCTCTCTCTCTCTCTATATATATATATATATATATATATATATATATATATTCTTCAGTTATTTAAAACCACTGCTTACGCATAGCAAACCACCATTGACAGAATCTTTACCATCATGCTGTTATAAATGCGCTAAAGTACTCACAACTCATGAACAAACCAATGAAACATTTGTAGACAATGATGGAAATGAAAGGACTTCTCTGGAGAATTCTAGACATGATAGTACAACTGTATTTTATTCGCATGACAAAGCATCAATCAATCCTACGCTTAATATACATACTGTTAAAGTACAACCTGTTAAAGTGAGTGATTGTTTTTTTTGTGTGTGTGTGTTTTGTGTAGGCTTCTGTGCGCCACATTTCCGATTATTTTTTTTGTTTAAATAATTTATAGGTTGGCGTATTTGATATGAGTATATGTTCGTTTAATTATAGGTTAACAACCATGTTTTATTTGAATAGAAAGCTTTATTATTTAGTTGCTTCTAAATTAAGACTATCTACCGAAATCTGTTGGACAAAAACTAGATTCTTTTAACTGATTTGGTCTATTCTTAGCTTATAAAACAAACAGCCATTACATCATCGAAACTAAGAAATTGATTTGTAAAGAATTCAACAAGCGTTTACTTGTCTACTTAACAGATTTGAATTTAATTTGTAAAAGGAAAATTCCTTTCTGACCAGGAAATCTTCTTAGAAATAGGCTCAAATGAGGTGGGATTCAAGCTATATTATGCTATATGGCACATCTATTCAACTGCATAAAACAATCAGTTGGGTTAATTTTAAATTGGATCTTAAGTTGGACTTTGCTGTATTTCTTAGAGTGTAACAATATTACACGAGCGTTATTTGGCTCACATCTGACTAATTAGTCAAGTAGGGTGTATTGATCGAAGTAATCGTGGGAGTTGTGACTTAGCTTCTGTCTTTCGTATAGTAGATAGTGTGTTTAAACGTTTGTTTATTCACTAAGAGCGGTCGAGGAGTCTCTTCACACATGTACCAGCAGTATGTATGATTCGTGACATATTGAGTGAATATGCTTTTGGCTACTGAGTTTCATTCAAAAGAAATAAAGGTTTTGTGTGGGAATTGTTTTTCAGCGGCTTCACTAAACCATTTAGTCAATAGTAGTGACATGTGGTGTGTACTAGGGGTAGTAATGTTATCCGTGCAAGTTTATAACTTGCACTTAACAGGAATATAGTTACAAGCTCCGATACCAGTCATGGCGGTGAGGAAACAGTTTGCCCAAACCTTTTTGGAGCAGGTCCCCTGATTAGCTTGTAGCGCGTGTGTGGTCCCAGACATCATAGAGAGCATCACAGACATGCTATTCTTCAATTTCGTACGACTTCATTGTGCCACTTGCCTCCTTAAGAAGCAAAAGTTGGCACCGTACCAGCTGGGTCATAATCATACTGTGGTGGTGTAATACATACAATAGGGTCCAACGGAATGTTATTCTCAGAGTAAGAATCATTGTTTTTGTCGGTGTTGACGTCTGAATACTATTCCCCCAGTTCAATAGTGCATTGGCAACAGAATACTATATGTATGTGAACATTCTGTTTCATGTCGTTTTATGTAAACCAAAATTACACGTTCAGTGATTGGTTAACAAATATAAACTATATAGATATAAATAGCTGTTTGATCACTTGAAAATATACCTTGGCTTTCGTGTTTTGCCATCTGCTGTTACAAAACTACTCCATAAAGAAGCAATAGAAGACACTCTCCAAACGAACACAGACAACCAATCTTTTATTTAGCCAGGTTGAATTCTTTTTCGTTATAAGGAATAACCAAACGAATCACTACATTGACTAAGAACGATAATGCAGCACCATTCACCGAATCAAGAAAGAGCTTCCAATCTATCAGTCCTCACAGTCTTTGGACCTGATGAGTTTTCTCGTATTTCACCACTGAAGTCGTTGACACTGGTCATAGTGAATTAATTTATCCGCCTATGTGCCAGTAAGTTGTAACACAATTAATGCCACACACGAAATTCTAATAACTTGCCATTTTCAGTACTAAATCTCATATTTTATTGCTGAGTTTGAGAATAATATTTTGCTAACATTTTAACTAACTTCTTAGAAAAACTATCTCACACTTTCTTGATATATTTATAAATTTAAAATATTCTAAATTGTTCTTGTTGTGAGCGAAAGGGACAGCCAAATGGTCGATATGTTCAACTGTCATCGGTAGACCTTAATTTCAATTTTCTTTTCCACACCATTGTACTGTATAATCTCTAGATTTAAGTTCTGTAGATGACATAATTTCAGGTTATTGTTCGACAATAATACAAACCAACACTCGAATATCGATGAGATGCTCACTAGCGACTTGCCCTACTCAGGTAAGTAGTTGCCTGCGGTTCTAGTGAGAAGTCGTGACCAGTAGGGTGCAGCAGGTCGGGTGTGAGGATAAATACTCGCTGAAGACATTGGCTAGCAGTCGCGCTATGTCGTGAATTGGCAGAAGTTAGAATTCATGGACTGGCCATTGCGTTGGGTCCCATTGGCTTAATAGTATACGAGCTCGCTAGCCTTGTAACCAGAAGGTCCTGGGTTCGAACCCCATAGCGTAGGTGCGTACTGTGAAGAGTCCCAAACTAGGCGACGGAAGAGCTGTTCAATATCCCCTGCAGGTTTTCTAATAGTTCTCTAACCAATGTCAGCTCATGATGAAATCCTGTAATCAATCATTTCCCTACAAACCAACATTTGAATAATTTAAAAATTATATTCTGCATTTTAACACTGTATTCAGTTATTTAGTAAGGTTGTATGAAATGATAGAAATGTGAACAGTAACTAGTGTAGAAACCTCATCTGATGTAATATATCTAATATACAAACTAATGTGGAACTATATACTACCACGGTGGCTAAGGTCTATATATATATATATATATATATATATATATATATATACTTAGTCACTAGAATAATTGTGGAATGTAAAACAGCTATGTTGTAAACGGACAGTATGAACTATGCTTAATTACTAAATTCATTTTCTTATTACCTGATTAAAACGTAAGTAATTTAGTTTATCAGCTACATCTATTATATCCTTTTGATAGTTAGTTCAAGAACGGACGAACAAGAGAAACAACACTAATGAACTTATTGATCTTAGATATTAGATGATTCTCATCTATTTCATATCTTTTATGCTTGACTTAACTAGTCCACATTTTAAAAATAAAAATGTAAGCGAACAATTCACTTGTATGTAGCATCCTATTGGTGACAGTTCACAAGTTTGTAATGCATCTTAATACCTATGCATTTACCATGTATGTTTCTTTGAGGTGGCTCAAAGTTGTCCATAATGTTGCAGGTGTATTTATTGCATTCTTTGTCGTCTATCTGGTCTTTAAAGCTTCCCTTGATTACCATTTAATTATTCTGTTCGTCACATCTATATTTGTCTATTGTTTCTCTCCTCTTTTGTGTGAGCTAATGAAGTTTTATTATGCAAGATTCTTAATTATTCTTTCAGTCAATTTGATCCAGGGCTTTTCTTGTTGAAAAAGTTATAACCTTGTTTTTGTATAAATAAATTTCAACCAGGTAATCAGAAGGCCAAAACACTCTTGAACCTCGCCTAGTTTACTAACCAACAGGAATCCAGGAAAAGAGAGAAGGTTGAGCGTGAGGCTAGCAACGCCACCTTGTAAAAAGGGCAACAGCAACAACACCAGCGTTCTTGAAACGTCAAAACGCAAGCTTGAAGGCCTGTACTCCACTGGGAACTCAAGGGAATGAAAGCGATATATATATATATATATATTGAGTTAGTAAGTCTGATGACGTAATATAATTGACTAAAATGTTCCAAGTTAGGTCAGGGTAGCAACAGAGGTAATTACAGGTAGAGACTAAGAAGAGCTGGGGTAGAGAATAATGCCATTTAAAAAAAGAACAATAATTGTCCATAGTTTGGTTTGTAAGGGTTCGTTTTGTTTTTACGAGTTGACCACGGATTGTTATCAGTTTGAGAACCATTGAAGAACCTGGGAGTTCTGGACAGCTGTTTCATCCTAGTTTGGGAATCATCGGCAGTACACGACCACTGGGGGCCGAACCCAGGACCTCCCGGTTACAAGACCAGCGAGCTCGTATACCATTCAGCTACTGGGACCTGATTCAATGTCTCATGAGTTCTAAGGCCTACCAGTTAGATTAAGTCCATCTTATTACCGGACAGGTAAATTCTACTTTTTCTTTTCTTTTTTCTGTCTCTTCATTAGTATTATTTTGTCTTTTCAATTGTAATATTTTACATTTTCAATCTTCCTGTTCTCTACCCCCGCCCGATTTAATTTCTACACCTTATTACCACTGTTACTGACTTGACCAACGCTCAGTTTCTAGTCATTTATTGCCGATTGACTCCAGCTATTTAACATATCATCAAATCAATGTGCACCGCGATGGCGAGCTACTTAGAACGGCGGTCACATTGCAAAAGCTGACTGACAGAATTCAGTCTGCACCAAAGAAAGGACTAGATACGTCACACTAGTTACTAGTGTTCAATCAAAGTACCCACTACAGTCCTACAGGAGGTCAATCGCGAGCCCGAATAGCTCAGTGGTAACGTCTCTGACTGCAGCGCTAGGTGATGCGGGTTCAAATCTCAGAAGAGACATGATTTCCTTCAAGGTTGCAGATGCACCTTGCTTACTAGTGAGTGCCCACTAGCGCGAAACCTAGGTCGAAGGCTTCCTACGGCCGATTGCCTCCAACTATCTAATATATCATCAAATCAATGTTACTTTATATATATATATATATATATATACGGCGTTTTTCAAGTGTTATCATTGGTTTTTGTCAACCGAGTTACTTTTTTGTACATTACGCCACCTAATTTGATCTTCGGTCAAATTACCGTTTTGGGTGTGTCTCCGTGCATGTTATTGTATTCATCCAATTTTGTATCCAAAGGAAAACACTCGGTAAGGCCATTGCATAAACATTAAAACAAAATTACCTTGATCTCAAAATTCATTACATCTTACCAACTGAAATTGATAATTATTAAAATTAAAATAAAATTAGTTGGCCTAATTTCACATAATTTTTTATTTCTTCTTAAATGTTTATATTGAAAGTGTGACCAACTTATTGATCTGGATGGTGATCATTATAGTAAAAATGATGGTAATAGAAGTTATGCTGAGGTTAGTTACAAACTGACAATCAACTTTTATTTCCTCTACAAAAATAAAAACAATCATTTATTATAGTTTTGCTTTACTCAAA